AATAATTTCCCTGACATTTGAGTGTTGTAATTTTTACTGAAGGGTTTCGTACTGTGGTACCAGTTCTGCCTGAAAAATTTTACCTCAGAAAACTTAGGCTCTCTAATCTCACTACGGTAATGGAATCAGCATATTCAGATGCCTGTAATACATTTAACGCAATTCCCCAGGAATAAAATTGTTCTAGACCAACCCAATTTTTCATTTGGTCTAGAGAAGTGACTTTCTCACGTTTCTCCCATTTGTCCAAACCCTGAATCAATCTAGCCCCTAATAGGGCATAAGATTCTTCAGGCTTTTTGGTAAGGGACCAAAATTTTCTTCAAAGGTGTTCTGCATTTATGCCAAATTTAGAGCTTAGAACACCTTGTTTTTCTGAGGCACCCTCATGAGTCTCCTCCTGTTCCACTGGAGCTATAGAGTCTCCATTTCCCTCCACTTCGTGAGGTAAACCTTCTGCCTCACAGACTCCCCTTTTGGCTCCATTTGGGTGGCATGTTTAAATCTGAGTGAATGAGTTTTGAAGGTCTGTACTGCTTTTCAAAAGGACCTGCCTTTCTGCTGTTAATTCCAGTAATGATGTCGTTGTGCTTCCCTCAGAAGCTCTCTGGCTGCTCTCCAGCTCACAACCTTTTAGTTACTGTCTCTCTCTCTTTATGTCTGAGTTATTCCTGCTCTCAGACACCAAAATAATTTTATTTCTCAGGCCTTTGCTTTTTATTTTCCTGTCACCTCAGATCTGCTGTGACCCTGGCTTCCCACTTTTTATCTAGCACTGCTCCCTTATCTCTCAGAGCCTTGGATTTCAAGCTAGCCCCTGGGTCTCTCAAATCCTGAGGTAAACAAAAAAAGAGTTTTTCCTTCAGAGTCGGTACCCTATCTTTAGTTCCCCCCAGATCTGGGTTCAGAAGCCCCGCCACTAAGCTTTCCCACAAAAACTCTAGCAGGTCACCCACTTCTTTACCACAGACCCCTGACTAAAGAGGTACCCATGACTCAAAAAATGCACTTTTAAACCTTGGCTTCCACTGATTATTTTGTATCCCGCCGCTGGACACCCATTGTGGCGAAAAAAGGGTTGATAGAAGTAGGGGTGGAGATCCGTGAGCCCCAAAGCGAAGCCACGGAGAAAGAGGCACAGCTGGCCTTCCAGGAGGGCAGAGTTAAAAAAAACAACAGCCATCCAGATAATAATATATATAACCATCAACCATCCAGATAATAATTTTATATTTATTTATTTATTTATATTTAATTATTATATATATATATCCAAGGGCTGGTGCAGGAATTCCACAGATATGAGTTCTGTGGCTTTGTAGGATACAATTCCCAGCCTGCTTGGCCAGTAGGGCTATTGGCTGGGGATGACTGGAGTTGTTGTCCAAACTGCCTAGAGCAGCCCGGAGAAAGGTGCTGCTCAACTTAGGCAGTCTGAGTTGTCTTTGGACAAAGGGAACAGAGCCCCTGCCGTGGCCAACGAGCAACCCTTCCCGACCTCTGTGTAAGAGAGAGTCTGCCCTGCCGGACAGCGGGAGGCAAAACTCACGCTCCCTGGGCCTGCTTCCGATTCTGCTTCCGCTGTTATGGTGCCAGAATGCTCCCCTCGAGGTCCGAGGGAGCAAAGCTCTTAGCCCCCTCCCCGCTGGACGGACAGACAGACGTCCTGCTCTCTTCCGTGTCTCAGTTAAAGGCCAGGAGCTGTCTTTCTCCTCAGGTGACCTGCCTTCTCCTTCTGTCCTCTGGCCCCCGGCCCCGACGGCACGGCTGACCCGCTCGGGGTATCGCCGGCACCCCTTTGCCACCTGTGCCACCTGGGGCGGCTTCCGCTACCGGAGCTTTGATGGCAAACATTTCCGCTTCCGTGGGACCTGCGCCTACGTCTTGGCTGCAGCCTCCGAGGGCACCTGGGCGCTCCACATCTCCTCCCACCATGGAGACTGTGCCCCTGGTCGCTGCCACAAGGTAAGCGGTCTTCGTTGAGCCTCCGCACAGGGAAAGAACTGGCCTCTCTCTCTCTTGTAGAGAGATGCAGCTCAGAAGGTTTCCTCATGAGAAGAACTGCAAGGCTGGCTCTTAGAACTGAGCCCTAGAGTGCCCGTGTCTTGGCGCTGGACCACAGTGCGGATGGAACTGGCTCAGGGCATGTGCAAAGTGCCCCTGTGCCACTTCATCCCTGAGTAAACTTGGCCTGGGATTCAAGGAGGGGCATCTGGCAGAGGTCAAGCTGAGCTCCGACCACCTGGGGATCAGGCCCTGAGCAGGTGTTCACAGCCCTCTCCTTCCCTGGCAGGCCCTGCGCATGCTCTTTGGTCTTGACCTCGTCAGGGCAGAAGGCCGGAATGTCTCCGTTAACGGTATTGTGGTGCCAGAAGGGGAGGCACGCTTGCAGAAAGGTGAGGTGACTGAAGGCTGAAACCCTCTTTATTTTACAGAGTTGTGGAGAAAGACATTGATTTATCAGAGCATGTCATTTTTCGCTCCTCCCTCATTGTATCTTGTATTTAGCGTGCATTGTTTTGTGACTAGACACTGGAACGTACACATAAGCTTATCTCCCAAGTCAGTTGCTGAGGCAAGGTGGCTCCAGGAAAGCCAGCCGCAGGAGCTGATGTGGCTAGCAGTTAGGGGAAGATGCCTCCCACTTAAGGTCCTGTTTAACCCGAGATGTGAGGCAATCAAGAAGTGCCAGGGGTTGCAACCAGCGCTGCTGCGGAAGGGAGGGCTATTCTGTTTGGGCTACAGCTGCCAGTATGACCGGTCCTCATGCTGGCTGGGGAATTCTTCAAATGGCAGTCAAACATCCACTTGTTTTTCTCCTCCAGGAATCAGCATCTGGTGGTTGGGGGACTTCCTCCTCGTGGAGAGTGGCCTGGGTGTGCGTGTGAAGTTTGATGGACGTGATACCGTCTACGTGACCGTCGGGGCAGATCTCAAAGGAGATACCCGAGGGCTGTGTGGGGTCTACAATGAGGACCCTGCAGGTAACACCCTACCTTTGTGGCCACTCTCCTTCATCCCTCTAGGGAGGGAGAGAAGACTCTGTGGATACCCAGCATCGTGAAAAAGAGAAACTGGGCATGCCAGGGGTGTGTGTGGTGGTGGTGGTGGTGGTGGTGTAGGGGTGGTGTGTGGGATGGGGAGAGGTGCCACTGGGAGTCCTTCAGCAAAAGAGACCCCTCCTCTGGAGTCTCCCACCACCCTGGTGTCTTGTCTTCTCATGCCCACAGATGATTTCCTGCGCGTCGGAGGGGACGTGGCTGCACTGGCAGCCAGCTTTGGCAATTCGTGGCGCGTACCGGATGCCGAATCGGTAGGCACGAAGCAGAGGCCGTGGGGGTGGATCCTCGGCTGCAAGCCCACTGCCTCCATGGCCCTCTGCACCTGAGCAGAAAGAGACCCAGTCTGGTGCTTGCAGTGTGATAGGGAAGCGGGGGTGGGTGGTGGGTGATGGGCCCTTTGGGGCTGTGGAATTCCCTGCCACAAGGCCCACAGGACCCCTCCCTGCTGCCTTTCTTCCAAAACACGGGCGGTCTTTTGGAAAAAGGTTGCCAGAGAATGTGCTTTTCATAGGAGAGGGGGCTCTTTCCTCTCTTATTTGTGATGCCTCTTTAAAAGACATTCTTAGTTGTTTGAGTGACAGTTTTAATTGTGGGTTTCCCCCCTCTTTTAATATGATCAATGGTGCCATTAATATTGCAGCATCTTGTGTTTTTAGCTGCATCTGTTATGAGGCACCTTGAATCCCAGTATTGGGAGAAAAGTGGGTTACATCTGTCCGTCCGTACATTCACCTCTGCAGACTCAGATGCTGTATCTTGGCCACCCAACCAGAAAGAACAGGTCTGGGCAAAATCAGGGAAAGGCACACAGCACTGAGGTCTGGCTTTGCTCTTCTAGCAGCTGGTTGGCAGCAGAGGTTTTCGGGGACAGGTGTCAGGGTGCCCAGCCAGAGCGGTGCTGGTGTGGATGCCTGTTGGCATCTTGGACAAAGCTGCAACCTGGCAGCTGGTCTTTGCTAATCCACGGGTGTCTTCAACCCACACCACGCAGCTGGTTTTGACTGGGGACGGGTGGGTTTTTGCTAGAGCTGTGAGACCCAGAGGGGCCAGCTTGGCACTTTTAAACAGGCAGGCAAACCACAGCTTCCAAGACGTGGCACATTCACCATGCCACAGACAGCCACCTTGGTGTGCGCAGAGACTCTTTGACAAAAGCCACTGCAGTCGCTCTCAGGGGAAGAATCCTGGCATAATGCTGGCAGAGCATCGCTTTCCTGCCAAGGCCATCCGGACAACAGCCTGCCTACATTTTGCGGCCAGGCCTCTCAACTGCCCTGATGCAAAGCACTTGCTGGCCTGGAGCCCCACTTCTGGAGAGAGAGCGTGCCTCTGGCTGTGCCCGTGGCAGGGGAGTGTGAGCAGGGAGAGGCGCTTGCACTTCCTCTTGGGTGGTGGGTTTGCCAGGATGGAGAAAAGATGCTGGACGAGCGAGGCGTGTTCTGATCTTCTGATCTGATCCAGCCGTGCCAGGACTCTTGCCTCCGTGGCCAACAACACATGGCCAGCAGGCCACCCACTGAAGGATGTACCATGCCGAGTGTTTCAGAAGGTGCCCCACAGGAAATGTTTCTCAACAGGGGGCGCTTCTTTTCCAGAACATTCCGTACAAGGACAAGGGGTGGCCTGGGTGGGGCAGGACAAGCCCCCTGGGGAGGGTGGAAGCGCCATGGCCCTTACTGGTTTCTCTCCGCGGCCTACTCTAGAGCCCCTGCCAAGATGCTGCAGAAGAAGCAGAGGGCTGCGATCCACCGGCAGGCCAGGGGAGCCAACAGGAAGGGGCCTCCGTGTGCCAGCAGCTGTTGTCCAGCCCTTTCAGCCAGTGCCACTCAGAGGTAAGGAATGAGCTGCCCCAGGTCCCCACTTCCACCTGGGCTGTGCCAGCCTAAACTGGGGTCACGTCTTCTCTCATCCCTGCCAGGTGGACCCCGGGGGCTTCTATGAGGCCTGTGTGGACGTGCACTGCAGCGGGGCAGGCACAAGCGCCATCTGCGAGACCTTTGCCAGCTACGCCCGAGAGTGTGCCCAGCAGAGCATTTGGATCAGCTGGCGGCGTCCCGGATTCTGTGGTGAGAAGGGAAGAGGGAAGGGCCTCCCCAGAAGAGGTGGCGTCTCTGCTCCCTTGTGGCAGAAGGGATATTTTCCCAGGGGGGCTCTGCAGCGGCCACCTTTCCAGTATGGGGAGCAGGGCTCTCCGTCCACATTTGAGATGGGAGCAAACCATAGGCTCTGTGGTTTATGCTGGTTCATTTATCAGCTAAACAGATGTTTGGCGCTTCCAAGCCCTGCCTCCTTTGGCAGATGCTCACTCAGAGGCAGCACCAGGTGGGCGTCTGTTGGAGGAGTCAGGCCTGGGAAGTGGCAAACACCTGTTTGGTCAAACAACATATCAACGTGAATCGCTGAACCGACAGTTCGTGCCCATCGCTAGTCCACATGCCAGGGAAGGGCCACCTTCTTACAGCAGGGGTGTGGGGCGGGCGAGAGGGAGCAGGAGGGTGGTGCTAACCAGGTTCGATCTTCCACCCCACCCCACTGCCACCCACAGCAGGCCCTCTCAGGCCCTTATGCTTTCCTCTCTACAGAGAAGTCCTGCGGGCAGGGCAAACGCTACTCCGACTGTGTGTCTGCCTGTCCTGCCAGCTGTGCAATGGTGGGTTCTGCCGAAGAAAGAGGGCCCTGCCAGGACGAGTGTGTGAGCGGCTGTGAGTGTCCTCCAGGCCTCTACCTGGAGGAGGGCACCTGCGTCCCGGAGAGCCAGTGTCCCTGCTTTCATCGGCGCCAGAGGTATGCCCCCGGACAGACGATCCAGCAGCGCTGCAACCAGTGGTAAGTTTGCTCGCTTCCCATCTCATGTGGGGTGGAGGCCACAGGTATGGGGTGGAGGCACCGCTGGGGCCGGCTCAGATTCACCCTGCAAGATGCCGCAGCCTCCGAGGCCCACAGCTGCTGCAGAGTGGGGATGCTCTGATTTCCCCAGCTGTCCTAACTCCCTCTCCTCCCCTGCCCCGGGAGGCCACTGGACTGAGTTGCTGCGGCGTCACAAACACTCCAGCCGTGGCCACTTCGCAGGGGCAGATCATGCAGGTCTCCTGATTCCAGGGAAAGGTCCAACTACCCAGGCTGGGGTTTCACACTCCAGGTCCTAGAGCAGGTGTGAGACACCTGTGCTGTGGTGGCCAGCAGGGCAGGCAAGAGCTGAGCCAGGGGTAGGACGTCGGTGGGCTGGCTGGAGAAGGAGTCTGGAAAGAGCGGCTGGGAGGAAAAGAGACCGGATCCTTGGTCTGCTGAGAAGCAGGGGCTCCTCTAGGAAGGCGGGAGAATCTCCTAATCCTCCTAGAGCTGCAGAGCGGGAAGGGACCCAGTGGGAAACCGGACCCTCCGCTAGCCTCTGGCGACCCAAATCTCTGAGCTCTCCAGCTGTTCCAGGAGAAGGTACAGCGGGGGTCTGAAGGTCCAGCCGGGCGAGGCTGGTGGAGGTGGCTGTCGCTCTGCCAGAGGTGCCCTTCCAACCGAGTTCCCCGCCTGATCAAGTATCCTTAGCAGAGAGGAGGCGAAGGGCCAAAGGCCAGCCTCGAAACAAAGCCGGGAGAGGCGTGAAAAGCCAGTCTAAGGGGGCCTGCCAGTGTTTCCAGCACCGGTGGAACTCCCTCTTACAGCATGAGTGCATGCCATGGGATTGGGGCCTTTGGAATGTGGAGGAGGGCCCCCCCCATGGAACAGGAGGGGGATGGGTGTACCTTTCTGTTTGCCCTGGGCCTGTGGCCGTCCGGAGGGCCTGCAGGTGAGAACAGCAGCCCTCGCCCTGCAAGGCAGCTGGGGGTGCTCTGGCTCCCTAACGTGGGCTTCCGGGGACTCTTCCTTCCTTTAGCACCTGCCAAGGGGGTCGCTGGTTTTGCTCCCAAGACCCATGTGCTGGGCAGTGCGTGGTGCTCAGTGACTCACACTACCTGACCTTCGACCGCAAGCGCTACTCCTTCCATGGCACCTGCCAGTACATCCTGGTGCAGGTGAGGCTTGGGGTGTGTCTCTCTCTGTGTGTGTAGCAATTGCAGCACAGGGCGTGGCTCCACCTGCCTGTTTTTAGCAGTAGAAGATTTCCACCTCCACCCTTTCCCTAAAGAGGACCCTTCAGGGTGGTGTTGAATCCCCGTCAGCTGGAGAGCTTTATCCCTCACCCCAAATCCATTCGCCTCACAAGCCTTGGGACATCCCGGGAGGGCTCCCCCCCCATTCCTACCTTTCAAAAACCGTCCCAGGCAGGCAGGCATAGGGCTTAAAGCATTTGTGGGCTGGGGCTGGCAAGCCTCTGGCCCCCTTGGGGATGCTTTGGGGGGCCAGGGGGTCAAGCAAGAGGCAGAAGAGGGGAGAGGGGCAGCTGTTGCCAGAGACACCCCCCCCAGCAACCCAACGCCCCACACATCCTCCGTCGCTCAGCGGGTGGGGCTGCCTTTCCTTGCAGGACTTTGTGGGCGGGAAGCTTCAGATCGTGGCCGAGAAGGGGGCCTGTGGGAGCCAAGGGGCGGCTGGCAGCTGCCTCCAGGCGGTCACTGTCACGGTGCAGAAGATTTCTGCCCGGCTGACCCTCACAGGTGAGAGGGGAAGAGGGAACAATCGGGCCCTGGATGGAGTCCGGGTCCGGCAGGCAGGCTGGCATCCCTTTGCCCTGGGGTTAAAAATCTGCTCACCAGCCTTTGGAATGAGGGGCAGAGGTTCTTTCCCTGCTTCCCTGGAAGCCCTGTGGATGGGTTGAACCCAGGATGTTCTGCCCATGAAGCACCAGCCATCCCACAGACCCTTTCCCACTTCTGGGGACCTTCGTCGTCCTACTTTGGGGACGTTTTGGGCCCCAGGAGGCTGGGGTTCCCTCAAGGAAGCCCTCTTCCATTGGCGTGGCAAGGGGAGCACCTTATCCCTCCCTCCCTTTCCCCTTTGATCTTCTGTCTTCCTTCCCTTCCATCCATCCAGGGAGGGTGTCCGTGAACGGTGAGGACGTTGCCCTCCCTTTCGCCAGCGCGGATCTGACCGTGCGCCGCGCCTCCTCCTCCTTCCTGCTTCTCCAGGCCTTCGGGGCCCACCTGCTCTGGGGTCTGGCCTCCCCTGCTGCCTACATCACCCTCCAGCCCAGCTTTGCCAACAAGGTGAGTGGCGAGGTGGGGGTGCCCGCCTGACCCGGCTCCCTCTGGCTGGCTCTGGGAGGCCCAGGCCGGGTGGCTCCCCCAAGCAGGAGGGTAGCCCTGCTCCGCCCAGGGGATGTGCAGGTCCCTGGGTGTTTCTATTTAAGTTGTGTTTGGTTGTTCAGGTATGTGCCTGTTTGCTTGTGGCCAGTAAGCATAAATCACTACCGGCAAAACAAATACCCCCACTCCCACCCCCCTGGTGCTGTTTGCAATCTGTTATCCTTAAAATCGACAGGAGAGTAACTGAGGCAGCATACAGAGAGTTATCCTTAAAATCGACAGGAGAGTAACTAAGGCAGCATAACAGAGAACATTCAGAGAGAGACAGAGATAGAGCATTCAGTTTTTATATCTTGCATTATTTGTATTGGTTAGTAAGATCGTATTTGTATAGCTTTTGTTTAAGAAAACATTTGTATAGCTATTTATTTATTTATCTATTTAAATGTGTATCTTTCTCACTCTTAAAAACAACAACAACTCCAAGTGCATATTGGTTGGATGCAAATCCGATATAATACCATAAAAGTGCCACAACATTAAGATCAGTTTTAAAGGGGAAGCTAAACGCTCTTTGATGACAGCTGTCTCTACCTCTTTCATCTATTTGCAGTGGGCTGACAGTCCGTAAACTGGAAAAGTTACCTTTTTGGACTGTAAGTCCCAGAAACCCCAGACATGCTGGCTAGGGTTTATGCACAAGTAGTCTAATAGGTAATGTTTTCTGAATTCGTATCAGGACCACCTCCGCCACCACCTGGAGATCACCTGGGTCAGAGTTCTGGCTAGCTGTAAGAACTTCGAGACGTTACTGTTTTAGACCAAACCCTCCCAAATTCCAAGACTTGTAGTCCCAAAAGTTAACCTTGCCATGGTTTGCTTGGCATAACTAACCCACCCCCCTGGTTTTCTCCAGGTCCGAGGCCTTTGTGGCACCTACAACTGGAACCAGCAGGACGAGTTTACCACCCCGGAGGGAGACGTGGAGTCCGGCGTGGCTGCCTTTGCGGACAAGTTCAGGGTCTCTCAGGACTGCCCCTCCTTTGGCCCGCTCACCTTTGACCCCTGCAGCACTTACGCCCAAGGGAGGCAGTTTGCTGAGACAGCTTGCGCGGTCCTCCACAGCCCGACTTTCCAGGTAAGGGAGGGAGGGAGGGATCTGGTCCCACGGGGGAAGGGCAGGAGATGCTACCTGGACCCCATGGAGAGGAGAGGAGGATATTGATCTGAGCAGGCCGTGGGCCCAGAAAAACACCTTCCCTCTTCTGAAGACCCCCAGATGCAGCCCGTGGGTGACATCCTTTTATGAATGCCAGTTGACACAAGCAAAGTTCCTGCTACAAGAGATAGATAGAAAGGAAGCCTGCATGTACTTGTCTGCATGCATGAGATGCGGCTATTTCTCCAGGATGATGTTCCCAGCACTTAGCGTTCTGATCCTCATGAAGGATCGGCATAACACCAGTCTCTCTGCCTGCCTGCCTGTCCGTGTTCTGAAGGACAAAAATCGTTTTCCCCGGCTTATTGAGAAATCCCTTCTGAGCCTGTGCTTTGGTCTCTCCTTCCCTTTCTACAGTGGCATCATGATTTGAGTTCTTATTCTCACTGTTCAGTGATTCCCAGTCATTCCTACATCAAGTAGAGGAGAGCGCCGTCGTGCAGAAACCCAGCTCGCCTGGGGATGCTGCCCCCTGTTCCCAGCCGAGTCCACGGGCCTCCCTCTTCCAGCATGCAGAGTTTATCCTTTCACCCAAGCGTTCTGACTGCGTGCTATTCCTGGGACCAGACTTTCAGGAGAGGACAGGTGTCCTCTTTGCTTCTGCCGAAGCCCCTCCACCATTGTATGCCTTTAGGGTGAAGTTCTCTCCTCAGGGGCACATTCTGTTCCCTTTCAAATTCTGCCGCTCCGTCGGTCAAACGTTTCCTCCACCGGGGAAGCCAGGCTACTTGCCCCAGTGAGCCAATCTCCCCCCCCCCCCCCCCGCTTGCCTCACAGCCTTGCCACGACCTGGTGGAACAGGAGCCCTTCTACCAGCTCTGCCTTTATGAGGTCTGTGGCTGCTCCCCCAGTAAGGACTGCTTGTGCCACGCTGTGGCAGCCTACGCCAGGCAGTGTGCCCAGGAAGGAGCCCCCGTGTCTTGGAGGAACCAGAGCTTCTGCCGTGAGTTTTCCACCCCTTCTGGTGGCGGCCGTCGCTTCAGAGGGTATCCCCTGTGGCGGGCTTATTCCTCTCTTTGGAACGGGTGGGGCAGTGTTTCCGTGGAGGTCCAGGCAGCCCAGAGGACGGGGTGGCCCAGAACACTGTGACCCTTCCTCTCTTTCCCAACAGCTGTTGAATGCTCAGGGGGGCAAGTCTATCGAGAATGTGCTCCTCCGTGCAGAACTACCTGTGCTGAGCTGCACACAGAAGCCTTTGACACCTGCCAGGAGTTGGAGCCGCTGTGTGTGGCCGGCTGCAACTGCCCAGATGGGCTGGCACTGGACGAGGATGGGCAGTGTGTCCAGCTGTCCCTGTGCCCCTGCGTTCACCAGGGGGAGGTGCATCCCCCGGGGAGCAAAATCCAGAAAAACTGCAACACCTGGTAAGCTCCGCTCCTGCCTCGCATGTATTGAATGTCTGGGGATGTGCAAGGGGGTGGTTTGGTCCTGGGTGCGGAAGAAGAGACTTTTAAAAAGCATGTTTCTAGTCCTCATGCCTGCATGAAAACCTGTGTTGGCCACTGCTGGAGATTACTGCAAAGAGAAGCGTCAAAGGCCAGAGCGTGCCAGCCCTGTGTTGGGCTTTCATACCCAGCTTCTTATGAAAAGTAAAATAAATAGATGAATAAGTAAATACAGTAAATGAATTCATCTGTGTCCTGGACATGGCTTGGAGAATGTACAGGACACAGAAACAAGAATAGATATACAGTATATGTTGCCTCCAGGATCAGAGGCACTTCCTCTTGGGTGGTGGGTTTGCTGGGATGGAGACAGCACAGACTGCTTTTGGGGAATGATGGGGCAGAATATCCTGCTGCCTTCCTCTCCTGCTGGTCAGCTCCTTAATGGGGCAACCACCGGCCCCCTGTGGGGACACCTGGGCTAGCGAGGCTCAGTTTAGCCCGATCCAGTGCCAGCCCCCTTCTCGAGCTCTTAAGGGAATTCCCTTCCTTGCTGAATTTAAGAACGAGAAAGGAATCCATCAATAGAGTTCCCAACAGGTACGGGAGAGAGAAAAAAAAGCTCGATGGAGTGGTAGGAGACGTTTGATGAAATCGCCCTGTGACCTGTCTGTGTCTCTCCTACAGGATAGGTTGATTTCATTGCATGTCTCTGCCGCGTAGGTCCAACTGCCGCACCATCATCATTGGAGTGGTCCTGTGTTCATCGTGGGGGTCCGAGGAGGCAACCGACTGGCTGGCTGGCTGGCTGGCTGGGGATGTCCGTCTGGGTGGGGAGGTCACCGCTGGCAGAGCAAGGAGGAAAATGGGGGTGGGAAGCAACCCATGGGAAACCCACCCCCACTGGAGCAGGAGCACAAGCTCAGGGCAACCCTCCCTGCCCCCCCACCCCCAAAGCAAGGAACAGAAGGAGTATTTAAGTTCCACAGACAGAGAGGGTCAGGTTGATACCCTGTTCCCCTGAAAATAAGACCTAACCTGAAAACAAGCCCTAGTAGGATTTTTCAGGATGCTCGTCATATACGCCCTACCCCAAAAATAAGACCCAGTTAAGTGAAACCCCACCTTCCACCCTTGTGCAGCAACCAGAAGAAGGTGACACGACTGTAAAACAAAACATCCCCTGAAAATAAGCCCTAATGCGTTTTTTTGGAGCAAAAATTAATATAAGGCCCTGTCTTATTTTCGAGGAAACACGGTAGATCTGAACTGCCTCTAGGAAATAATTCCCCTGCCAACTTTTGATTTGGATCCTCACTTCTGTGACTTTGACTTTTATCTTTGAGGTTGGGAAAGGGGTGAGGTGCATTGAGGACAGGGATCTTTCCCAGGAGGGGTTCAGCACCACACCAGTGAGAAATGGATGGGGTTTGCAGGAAAAGCTGCCCTCTCCCCCCTCATCCCCCTATGCCTGACCTGTGTTCCAGTGTTTGTGTGAACGGGGCCTGGAACTGCACAGGAGAGAGCTGCCCCCAAGCGGTCGTCTGCCCTGGGGAGCTGGTCTACACCTTTGGCTCCTGCCTACAGACCTGCGAAAGCCCCGAGGGCAACCTCAGCTGCATGGGCGCCTTTGACGGTTGCGTTTGCCCCCCTGGCACCGTCTTCTTGGTGAGTTCCTCCTGGCACAGCTCAGCTCAGAAGCCCCTTGAACTCTTTGGAGGGGATAGGGACACGGAGCCCCCTCGGGGCCCCCAGACTCACTTCATCTGTGATCTTTTCCCACTTCCTGCACTTGGTTGCAAGACCTGGCTGCTTACCCCATTCTCTCTTGCCCCCCTGCTTAGATTTACTGAAAATGGGTGGAACACCAATTCTATGGAGCAAAATCTATGAGAAAGCCATCTGTGTCTGGGACTGGGCCCTTTGAAGGACTTCTGTCGCTCTAGAGCCATCCCCATCACCACTCTGGGGCTTTGCCCCATCTCATATGGCCTATATTAGGGGAGGTGGGAGCAGGGAAGCTTCTGCCCTAGACTGTGGAGGCCAGGAGGGCTCCTTCCTAAGGGAAGCAAAATGCGTGCCCCAGTGGCTGAGAGCCAGTAGGCTCTTGGCCTTCAGAAGAGTTGTGTGCGTGTGGGTTGCCTGGCCTTAGAACAGGAGACTTCATCATCCCCCTCCTCTTCTTTTCCTCCTCCTCCTCCTCCTCCTCTTCATCATCCTCATCCTCATCATCCTCTTCACCTTCTTCTTCCTCCTCCTCTTCCTCTTCTTCCTTTGAATTCTACATCAGAGTGCATTGTAATAAAATCCATGGGATGCAGACATGCAACCCTGCCAGGAACAAGGTTGTGGCTCTCCAGCCTTCCGTTCATCCAGGTTTTGGGGCAGCTGCTCTCCAGACCAGCCTCGCTGCCCTTCTTGGGGGAGGGGGATGGATGAGCTTGGCCCGGCCCCTCCTTGGAGGAGGTGGTCCCCCTGCTCTCTCCTCGGTCACCACCCAACTCCCAAAGCTGTGAAGGGGCTCTGGGGGGCACTCAGGGGTGCCGCTGACGTGGGGCCCCTGCTCCTTCCCTCTTTCAGGACGAACGCTGCGTCCCCCCGGAGGAGTGCCCCTGCCACCACCATGGACGGCTGTACCGACCCAACGACACCATCACCAAAGACTGCAACACCTGGTGAGGGCCCCTTGGCAGAAGCCTCTTGGGGCCGGCACGAGGGCTGCTGGAGGGGAACCGCTCAGCGTGGCCCCATGCGCCCGGGGGGGGGGTCAGCCCAGGGCAGGGGGCTCACAGTCCCTCTGTCTCCCTCTCTGGCAGTGTTTGCCAAAGCCGGCGCTGGGAGTGCAGCCACCACCACTGTGCAGGGACCTGCGTAGCCACCGGAGACCCCCACTACATCACCTTTGATGGCCGGACCTACACTTTCCTGGGGGACTGCGAGTACATCTTGGTCCATGAGAAGAACGGCGCTTTCACCGTCACGGCAGAGAACGTCCCCTGTGGCACCAGTGGCACCACCTGCACCAAATCGGTGGTGGTGGTCCTCGGCAACACTGTTGTGCACCTGCTCCGAGGTAAAAGGCGGCCGCTGCCGTCCCGCTCCTTCGCTTGCTGCTCTGGGGCCGACCGCTCAACGCCTCTCTCTCTCTCTCTCCCTCCCTCTCTCTCTGTCCTCGTCAGGAAAAGACGTGATGGTCAACGGGGTCTCGGTGCGTCCCCCGAAGTCCTACAGTGGCAACCAGCTGACCCTGGAAAGGGCCGGCCTCTTCCTGGCCGTCGTCTCCCAGCTGGGGCTGAGGGTGCTTTGGGACGGAGGTGAGGCCAGGCGGGAGGAGTGGAGCCTTCTCTGGTTTAACCCAACAAGCCTGGAGGGTGGCGGGCTCTGCGCCCACTTTTTGGAAGGGGTGTTCCACCCCACCTGCTGTGAGAGCCCCCCCCCCCCGTGAGCCCTGGCCCTGGGAGTCAGCTGCCCTGGGACATCTGCAGTGCCCCAGAAGGGTGGCCTTCATGGCCCGTGCCTGCCATTCCATTCTGGCTCGTCCCGGTGCCCCTGCTTCTGGCTGCATGGCAGCCCGGGACATCTGCAGTGCCCCAGAAGGGTAGCCTTCATGGCCCGTGCCTGCCGTTCCATTCTGGCTCGTCCTGGTGCCCCTGCTTCTGGCTGTATGGCAGCTCAGGTCCTGCTTGGAGGTGACCCTGAACTCCCGTGGAGACACCCCCCACCCCCCGCCGGCCTGAAAGGATCACAACTCTTCCCCCATTCCCAGGGACCATGGTTCGATGCAGCCTGTCCCATCCATGGGGCTGTTTGCGTGTAGATATTATTGGTGCATGGTCTAAGATGCTATTTTTTCTTTTGAAAAGGAAATTCTTCTAAGAAGCCATTCAGGTCTCAAAAAGAGAGAGACATGTGGGGGCACCTGCCACTTTCGGTGGCTTGGGAGGGGGTAACAGTGCAGTTGGAGGCCAGGAGCCTGGTAACACCAAGTGCTTCTACCCTCTACTTACTTGCGACAATGTATCTCTAACTCTGTTTGTTGTGGGTTTTTCGGGCTCTTTGGCCGTGTTCTGAAGGTTGTTCTTCCTAACATTTCGCCAGTCTCTGTGGCCATGGGCATCTTCAGAGATGCCGGCCACAGAGCACAGAGTGCTGTCCTCTGAAGATGCCCATGGCCACAGAGACTGGCGAAACGTTAGGAAGAACAACCTTCAGAACACCGCCAAAGAGCCAAAAAAACCCACAACAACCATTAGATCCTGGCTGTGAAAGCCTTCGCGAATATATTTCTAACTCTGCAAGTGGTTTCCTCTTGTTGGGAATCCCCCCCCCCGGGGCCCCAAGAGCTGCAATGGGACTGGTTGTCCGTGGGGGTCTCTGAGCACAGATTTAAACCCCAAGCCCCCCCCCAAAAAAGAACAGGGGCTGAATGCCAGCCCTGATTCTTCCCTTCTTCTACCCCTCCTTCTTTCCTCCCTTTCTGCCCAATGATGGGCATCTGGTCTCCTGGCTTTCAGTTGGGTCCTGGCCTTGGTATTTATGCTGGCCTCGGCTAGTAATTTTGGTGCAAACTTTGTGTGTTTGTTTGCCGAGGGAAGTATGTAGTCCAGGGACTGATCATTGCAGGAGGGGAAGAGTCTCAAAGCACACCTTCTTGTTTCCATTCTGGAGACAAATCAGAAGGAAAAATCTGAACGTATTAGTTTGCAAACGCTTTCTTCAGGAGTACAGCTGTGCTTGCAACCATGAGGGAGACGTGGCGGAGGTCCCTTCCCTAAAAAAGGTAACCCTTCCAGAGAAGAAGCAGGAAGGATAGAAAGCCTAAGACCTGAAGGCATTTGCATATTCGGCAGGAAGCTACCTAGAGAGACAGGAAGAAGGAGGGAGGAACACCCTGCCCCCCCCGGGAGGGACCCCCCTGGTTGTTTGGTGCTTCTTCTGGCTGAGGTTGTTGGCTACTGGCTTTATTCCTCCGTTCCCAGCCTGACGGAGAACCCTCTTGCCCTAGGCACAAGGGTATATGTGAAGCTGGAGCCCGTCTACCAAGGCCACGTCGCTGGACTGTGCGGGAACTTTGATGGGGACACAGAGAATGATTTCACCAGCCGGCAGGGCATTGTGGAGCCCACGGCCGACCTCTTCGGCAACTCCTGGCGCGTCAGCCCGCTTTGCCCTGAAGTCAGCAGTGAGGACTTTGAGCACCCGTGCGCGGTAGGTCCCCCGCCTGTTCCCTGGCAGGAGCCGTGCTTGTTCTCTGGTCAAGGGACAAGAGGCTCCATAGTGTGGGTGGAGAGAAGCTCAGACTGAAGGCTCTCCAGCGGGCCTTTCGCTGGGGACTCTCCTGCCAGCTGGAAGGATGGAGAGGGAGGAAGATGCACCACACAGCAGCTCCTCCCACGGCTGACCTTCCTCCCACAGGTGAACTCTCACCGCTCAACGTGGGCTCGGAAACGCTGTGGGGTCCTCCTCCAGGACCTCTTTGCCCCCTGCCACGAGGAGCTCCCCTGCCAGCAGTTCTACGACTGGTGTGTCTTTGATGCTTGTGGGTAAGTGGCTGGGTTGGGGGGGATGAGCAGGACCTGGAAGGAAGCACAAGGGGGCGGGAGAGGGCAGGGCTTGGAAGGGCTGCACGTCTGTCCTTCACGAGGGGGGACCAGCGGTACCATTGAATCGGTCGCTTGCCATCATGGCTCTTCTGTGGCAAATGAGTGACGGACCAGGATTTCAGAACCCTGGGTTCAATCTCCTGGCTCTGCCACAGAAACTCACTGGGATGTGTGTGTGTGTGTGGAACGAGTAAAGCCACTCCTTAAATATCTGACTTACTGTGAAAGCCCTCTTAGGATTGCTATAAGTCGGTTTCGGCTTGAAGGCAGATGAGAAGGACGTTTGTTTAGAAAAGAGCAAAGTAGTAAAGGAGAGCTCAAGCCAGCTGTGCAGTGGCCAGAGGACTCCGGAAACTCAGGGGTGCAGGAGTGACACCACCCCTGAAACACATCCCCCCCCAAACCCTAGATTGGAATTGCCCTCTCATAGCCCCAACAAGAGATGGGAAGAGTGTTCCTGTTTTCCCAAGGTCCATAACCATGAGTGGACTTTGGTGAGCCTTTTGGCAAGTTAGGCATCGAATTGCTTTGGAAAACTAACTTTCCAAATTTGGGGTGGGGGGGGAAGGGAGATGAAGGCTTCCTGGGCCTTCCTTCAATGGGAGGAAGAGGAAGGGGCTGCAAGCAGGTTGTCCCCCCCCCAGGCAAGACAGAGCAGCTGCAGCTGCTGCCTTCCCTCCCGTGGCCGTCCTGTCCCCCCCCAGAGGGTCCTGGGCCCGGCTGCCTGGACAGCGGGTGGGTCAAAGGCCCCCCCGGGAGCCCAGTCCACTTGCTATCTCCTCTCGAAATGGGAGGGAGTGCGTTGTGCTGGGCATAAATCCACCCCACCTGGAGTGGACTCTTTAGACATCCCAGAGGGGGTGGATGGGGGACAGGCCGTGATGCTTCCGATGTGAAAGAGATTCTCCCCTGAATTCTGAGTTGTGTGAGTGGGGGGGTGTTGGAGGGGGCGTTTCTCTCTATCTCTAGAACGGGTGGGGGGTTTTTTGTTTGCTTTTTGCTGCTCCCGGGATCTTATGTCCAAACCCACCCCCTCCCCATCCCTCCCTTGATCCCTGGCTTGTCTGCTCCCTGTCCCGCTGCCCCCTCCCTGCAGATGCGACTCTGGGGGTGACTGTGAGTGCCTTTGTACGGCCATCGCCACCTACGCCAAGGAGTGCAGCCAGCGGGGGGTCTCCGTGCGCTGGAGGAGCCAGGAACTCTGCCGTAAGTCAAGCCAGCGGCTCACGGAGGTCTCCTTCCTCCCCCACCAGCCCACAGTGATGTCTGCCCAGGGTGGGGAGCCTAGGGCAGGCTTGGGGGGCTCCCCTTGGCTGCCCTTCCTGCCCTAGAAGCATGAGCGGCTAAGCTCTGCTGGCTGGGCCACCCCCAATCTCCTGCTCCTCCTGTGGCCCCCGCGGCCCCCCCTTCAGCCCTCCCTCTCTGCCCTTTTCAGCCATGCAGTGTGACCACGGGCTGGAGTATGACCCATGTGGCCCCGCCTGCCCTCAGACCTGCCAGAATGTGGACCTGGAGCTTCCAGAGCCCTGCGAAGCCCTCTCGTGCGTGGAGGGCTGCTTCTGCCCGGAAGGGAAAGTGCTCCATGGTGAGAACCCCTCCTTGACTCCGAGGGCTGCAAGGGAGCAGCCGGGGTGCAAAGAGACATGGCCGCTTGCTTTGGCTGATCCGCCAAAGGGTCCAAGTCCCTTTCCTCACGATGCCTTCTAATCCAGGCAGGGGCTGGAGCGTGCGTGCCCCCCACGCCGGGGCCGATCTCTCCTTGACTCTTGTCCTCTTGCTTCCCTCCAGGCGGCCACTGCATTGACCCGTCCGAATGCCCCTGCTACTGGGAGGGCACGTGGTTCCCACTGGGTGCGCTGGTGATGCAGGAGTGCAGGAACTGGTGAGGCCATGGGAGAGGCTCCTTCCAGGGGTCGAGCCAATGCCTTGGCGAGGGGACCCTCCCCCTGGTGCCCCCTGGAAGGCGAATGGGCCGGCGTGGCACTTCCCGCAGCCAGCCCTCCTCTTCTCCTCTGCTCCTCCTGGCACGACTTCTCCCCACAGCTCCTGTGAGGCCGGCCTCTGGCAGTGCGCTGCCCCCCTGGAAGCCTGTGCCACCCTGACTCGCTGCACCGAGACCGAGTTTGCCTGCCGGGAAGGCGGGCGCTGCGTGCCCGGGGCCTGGGTGTGTGACAACGAGGACGACTGCGGAGACGGCTCGGATGAGTTCTGTGCCCTGAGCTGTGCCCCACACCAGTACCAGTGTGCCAGCGGGCAGTGTGTGCCCTGGGGCTACCGGTGTGATGGCACCCCAGACTGCTTGGACCACTCTGACGAGCGGGGCTGCCCCCTGGCTGCCTGCGCCCGGCAGGAGTTCCGATGCGCCAACGGCCGCTGCATCTCCCGGGAGCACGTTTGTGACGGGGAGCTGGACTGTGGCTTTGACGACCCCTCGGATGAGGCGGGTGAGTGTGCCCAGGGGGGAGAGGCAGAGCCCAGGGGCCTCTGACCTGGGGAGCAGGAGGGAGAGGGGACCGGACAGTCATTATTCTCCATGTCTAAGCTAAGGGCCAGTGAGGAGGACAAGGAGGAGCAGCAGCAAGAGCAGCGCTGGGGGCTTGTTGCTAAGGGAAAGAAGAAAAGCTGATGATGTTTATTGTCTCAGAAAATCCATTTGGGGAGTGGGTGGGAAGGGGAAGACAGGGAAGAAAGCTGGGATCTCAGCCCTTGAGCCGGCTTCCATGTCAGGTGGACATTGACGTCCAATGTTTGACCACCCTTTCTAAGAAAGAGAAGGCCAGGAAAATGAGGTGCCCGCAGCAGAGGCGAGGAGAGAAAAGGGCAGGGGTGTTTCCTCCCATCCTTTGAGGCCTCTGGGGCTGGAGTCCCTAAGATCTGGAGGGCACCACATTGCCCTCCAAATCTTCGGGGGGGGGCTGTGCCAAAAGGTAGGAGGGTGCGGCCTTGCATTTCCCTTGCCCTCCTCGCCCCCAGAGCATGTCCCAGGGTCCCCTTGAGCTGAGCGCCCTTTTCCCAGCCGGGGTAGCACCAGTCCCAAGCAGCCCAGGGGGAGGACCTGGGGTGTTCCAAATGGAGCCCCAGCAGTTCCTCTGCCTTAGCTAAAGTGCCCACCCGATGGGGGGGGGCTAAGTCGCTCAAGGGCAGGCAGGATCTTGCCTCCTTTGCCCCCTCTGCAGGCTGCGGACCACCCTGCGGGCCAGGCGAGCTCCGTTGTGCCGTGGGGCTCTGCCTCCCCTACCTGCACCGGTGTGATGGCCACGATGACTGCGGGGACTTCAGTGATGAGCAGGACTGCCTCTGCCCGGCGGGGGAGTTCCAGTGCCCCGAGGGCCGGTGCCTTTCCCGCGCCCTGGTGTGTGACGGCAAGCCGGACTGCCCCTCGGGGACGGAGGAGGCCTTCTGCCCAGGTGAGACCCTTTGTCCGTCTCTGCTCTGGGATCTCCCCTCGAGCGCTTCACATCTGGATGACCAACCGGCTTCAGCCGCTAGTGGCCAGCCTCAGGGTGTGTTGTCCTTTCCCCTCCCCGAGCCAGCTCTTGGCTTCCATTCGCGATTCCCCTCCCCGAGCCAGCTCTTGGCTTCTATTCGCGACCTCCTCCTCCTCCTCCTCCTCCATGCCTCGCACGGAGGTTTGGGCTGCTCCGTCACGACAGGACTGCGAGAGTGTTTGTTTGGCTGTCCTCTTGGTCTTCCCCACCCCCCCTTGCAGGCCGAGTGACATGCGCGCCAGGGCAGCTGCTGTGCCCAGATGGCACCTGTGTGAGCCTCACGCAGGTGTGTGACGGCACACGTGACTGTGCTGACGGTGCTGATGAGGAGCCCCTCCAGTGCCTGGTGACCCGTACCACAGCCCTAGTGACTACCAGTGTCCCCACGAGACTCCCTGAGACTTCCTGGCCATCCATCCCCAGGACCCTGGGTAAGCAGGCTGGGGATGTCCCCGAAATCTAAGGGCTTTGCCTGGGATCTTCCGGGCACGAGTACCAGCTGGGGGTAGAGGAGCCCCAGGCCCTCAGGCTGAATTCAGCCTGGGTGGGGTACAATGGGGCACCCTTCTGTTTCCATCTTGACTCAACATCTGTGGTCCTGAGCTGTGCTTTGCCTGCCTGGAAGCATCTGCACTGGGGCTTCCTCCAGAGCAGCCATGCAAAGCAGTGCTCCCGGGGAGACTCAGCATGAGTGTGAGTGGTTTGGGGCTGACGGGGAAGACGGGGAAGGAAGGCCGGAGGGCAGAAGGGAGGCGCAGGAAGCATCAAGGTGCAGAAGGGAGACAGAGGTCCTGAGCATGTGCTGCAGGAAGTGATGAAGAAGGGGACCCCTCCCAGGGTGGAGGGTGGGTGGGGAGAGGCGCAAGGGAGGAAGAGGGTTTCAGTGCACCGGGTTATATAGACGCCGGTGTGGAGGAAAGGTCTCCCGAGGACTCAAGGGTCTGCCCGCCTGCCCGCCCCCCTTTCCTCCCTCCGTGCAGCGCCACCCTGTGGCCGCTATGAGTTCCACTGCCACAGCGGGGAGTGCCGGCCGCGGGGCTGGGTGTGCGACGATGAAGCAGACTGCCTGGACGGCAGCGACGAGCTGCATTGCCCGCGGGCGTGCGCCTTGGACCAGTTCCCGTGTGCCCACGGGAGCGAATGCATCCACTACAGCCACCTCTGTGACGGTGCCCCCCACTGCCAGGACCGGTCGGACGAGAGCATCGACACCTGCGGTGAGTGACGCCTGGCTGCGGGCCCCCTGCCCCAGAACCTCTCCAAACCAGGGAAGGGCTGCGGGCCGTCCAGGCCGCACTGCACTCTTCAGCTGGCGGGGAGCACGTTTAGATTTCGCACCGGCTCCGACTCTCCTTTCAAAAAGGGAGAGGCTTAGAATAGATCCCTTGGCACTCCCACAAGAGCTCAGGTCTGGGTGTGGGAGGGACAGGCGCCCCCGTGCTGGATCCGAGACCGGCGAGAGACTCCCAGGAAGGCTGAGCCGAAGCTCAGCAGGGGTGTGATGAAAACACTCCATGAACATGGGTTATTCCCAGAAATTTCCCAAGGCTTCTTAGGGAGCCTTCTCTGCTCCTTGAGAACATGAGATCTTGGTTTTTCGTAAGCTCACAAGAGTGTGGTGTTCTTCTTAGAACACGGGGCCCCTCTCGAAAGCATCTTGTCCGGGAGAGAGAGGGTGTGGTGCGGATAAACGGCCACGATTCTGCACAAATCTTTCAAGGTTTCTGGGTGGGGTGGTGGTGGTAGGGGAGGGATTGCCATGTTGAGCAATATCTCTGGGAGGAGAAAAGAAGACAGGGCCCACCCACACCGATCACTTCCTCCCTTGGAGCAAGAAGCGGCAAGACGCGCAAGACTGTGGGGCTTGGATTGTTCCCAGTCCTTTTTCACAGGAGACTCTCTTCCTCCTCCTCCTCCTCCTCCTTTCCTTTTCCGTGCAACAGGCTCTACCCAGATCCCACCCTGCCCGGGTTTTTTTGCCTGCAACAACCGCATGTGCATCAACGTCTCCCGAGTGTGTGATCACACCCCAGACTGTCCCCTGGGGGAAGATGAGCTGGCTTGCGGTAAGGGACCTGGGCTCTTGGGACGCTGCTCTGAGGGAACCACCACCGTCTCCTCCCAGGCCTTCTCTTGGTCGTTCCTTAGGCCAGAAGGACAAAGCTTGGTTGCGGGGAAGGACAAAGCCCCCCCCCCCAAACTTCTCAAGTCCAGGCCTGGCCTGTGGGGCAGCCAGTTAGCTGACCAGCTGGTTCAGCACCAAGGAGAGCTCCCCGTGAACCCCTTGCTCCCAGAGTAGCAGGCGCTGGCAGCATGGGCCTGGGGTGGGGCCTTTATCCTTAGACACCCCCTTTAAGCTGCAGCACCAGGGGTGTGTGTGGTGGTGGACGGGACCCTTCGGGCCCAACCAGGCTTCTCCCTTCCAGAATCTCCCCCTCCTTCCCCTCCAGGGAGGAAGCCTCGGGCCCTTCATGGCGGCTTCTCCAGGAGTCCCCACAGGGCTCACTCTTGGTGTGGGCTGACCAGCCCTCAGGATCCTGGCGCTTCTAGAAGTGGGCAGCCTGTTCTGGGGCTGCGGCCAGACCCCACTGGCTGGTGCTGGTGCCAGGATGCCAGGAGCAAGTTGGGGTGGGGTGGGGATCATAAGGGAGGCCCCGTTCTCCTGCTTTTTTGCTGTATAGCTGGGACTTCTTCGGGGGACCCCTCCCTGCCTATCCACCCCTGTTTTTCATGGAAAATCCCACCGAGGGCTTGTCTCCTGCATGGAGCTCAGTTGATTGCTTCTGCTGGTGCGAAGCGCTTGGTTGCGAGAGTTCCTCCTCTTGTCCTGACTGAGCTTTCTCTTCCCCCAGGACTGACTGAAGGAGGTCTTATAGAGGGGGTTGAAGGGGGTGGAGCAGAGGGAAGGGAGAAGGGTCCTGGGGTTCATCCTCCCTCCCTCCCTCCCAAGGACCTGGCCAGAGGGGGTGGCTGCCCTTCACACACCCGTCTCTCCCCTTGCAGGCACCCGCTGGCCACCTCCTGGAGGGAGGAACCAGAGCGCCGGACCCTGTGCAGAGTACTCCTGTGGGGACGGGACCTGTATTGCCTTCAAGCAGGTGCGGTGGGGACGGTTTCCTTCCCCTCCTGCCCTCACAGTCTTCTGGCTCCTTTCTGCCCTGGCCCCCGGCTCTTTCCTCCTGGGCCCCCCTTTCTTCCTCCGGGCCGATCTCTTGGTTCTGGTGCTCTGGGCTTGGGACCCACTCCGGCACGGCCTTGCCTTGCAGGTGTGCAACGGCCTGGCCGACTGCCAGGACGGCACGGAGGCCTCAGGGTGGCTGCCCTCCGACGAGCGGGACTGCGGCCTCTGGAGCCCCTGGGCCCCGTGGAGCCCCTGCAGTCGGTCGTGCGGCACGGGCCTGCAGCTCCGGCGGAGGACGTGCGCCCGGCGGGCCCTCGACTTCAATATACATTCCAATCCTAAAGAAAGGAGGTATCAAACGTTTCAATAACTACAGTGCTACTGCATAACTTCTATGCAATCAGAGTTACGCTGCGCCACTGCCTGGGAGAGGAGGTTGACGCTCAGCAGTGCTTCGAGGTGGCCTGCCCAGGTAGGGCTGCTGGGGAGGTGGGGGCAGGCAGGGCATTGGGGGGGGGCAGCCCCTGATGCTCAGGCTTCCCCTCCCTGAAAGGAAGGAAGAAGAGGGAGCTTGCCGGAAGGCGAACGACCAGGGTCTCCCTTCCTCCTGGGATGTTCCGGTGCTTGCTGGGTACTGAACCACCTTTCCCTCAGAAATGGATCCTTCCAGCTCCCCCTCTGCCTCCCATTCCTGCCGATGGCCCAGAGTTGGGATCACCCCAATACCTGATCCTTCCTCTTCAGCCCCAGCAAGAGACAGGAACCCATGCTTTCCATTCAGAGGTAGGCAAAACATACACTCTACACTGGAAGCACACGAGCCCTGTGCACCGCAGAGATGCAGAGATCCCACATGGCTGTCGTCTCTGTTCCTCAGAAGATCCCGGGGCTTGCACCCTGGCGGCTCTGGCACCACGACCCTTTGTCAGGATCCTCGCCCACTTATCCTGACCACCCCAGGAAAAGGAGGCTCCGTGTGGCAGGCAGGCAGGCAGGCAGGCAGGCAGGCAGGCAGGCAGGCAGGCAGGCAGGCAGGCAAACTCACTCCCCATTTCTTGGAGAAGCAGCTTCCCTTGGGAAGTTGTTTCCCAAAAGACGGTCCCCACCCTTCTGACTGATGGGCGACCGGTTCTGGGAGCGGTGGTCTGATCCCCTTTGCTTTCCCAGGGTGTGGGGCAGTTTGGCTGCCTAGCCTCGGACTCTTCTCTTCCCTTTGCTCCCCAGTGGACGGCGTGTGGACCGAGTGGACGACCTGGTCTAACTGCAGCCAGGATTGCCGTGGGGTGGTGGTGCGGCGCCGGGAGTGCCTGCCCTCCCACAACGGGGGCCTGCACTGCACCGAGAAGCCGGACGCTTCCGCCATGTCCTTGGAGATCCGTAAGTCGGTCATGGATGAGGCCAAGGAGGGCGGAGGGGCAGAGAAGCCGCAGGAGGGGGAGGCAATGGGGGAGGCGCCCTAAGGGAAGGGACCAAAAAGTCACTTTTTTTGGACTACAGCTCGCAGAAACCCCCCAGCCAGCATCCCCAGTGGCCATTTTGGCTATCGAATCCTGGGAGCGGAGCAGAAGGCTTTGAAAAGGAATTTTCACAGCCTTTGAGAAAGGGGTGCATCGCCTCCCGCCCTTTAAGGGGCAATCAATTCTCCTGAATGGAGCAGTGGGCACTTCGTCCCTATGGCAATGGTGGTTCCCTCTTGCACAGAAAAAAGCAGGGCAGTCACCCAGGTGTGTGTGTGCATGCGTAAGCATACAGAGAAACATCAGCTTCTTTGTCCTCTGCAGAGCCCTGCCAGCAGGATGATTGCCTGAATGCCTCCACCTGCCCAGGGGAGCTGGTGAACTGGAAGTGCGCTCCCTGCCCCACATCGTGCGCTGAGCTGTCCAGCCGCACGCGGTGCAGGAAGGACAGGCCCTGCCGGCCAGGTAACGGGGAGAGAACAAATCTGGGCTACTCCGCACCCGGGTTAGGAGCCAGACTGCAGAGTCTATTAATAGATCAGCCGGCAACCGAGCAGGAGAAACAGCAGCACCGTTTCTCTGCAAGGATTGTCCCCCAATGACCCCGAGGGACTCCCCGCGAGGCCATTCCCAGGCTGGAACGCCGGCAGTTCCTTTCCAGGTCTTCCTCACCTCCTGGCCTTACACTTGCGTAAGTGTCTGCCAATTTAAAAGGCACTCTGTGCATCCAAGGGCGTGAGCTGCAGTCCACAGAATCTGGCCCCGAGAGAGAGAGAGACACACAGAGAGAGGAAGTCCCTAAGGCTTTCTTCTTTCTCGTGGGGCCACCAGGTTTTCCTCTGTTTTCTTCCCCCAACTCTCTCTGCCTCCCAGGCTGCTGGTGCCCAGAAGGGATGCTGCTGGACAACGACCAGCGATGTGTGCGCCCTCGGGAGTGCCCGTGCCAGGTGGAGGGCACTCGGTACTGGCCTGGCCAGCTGGTGAAGGTCAACTGCCGGATCTGCACTTGTCAGGACGGGCAGATGAAGCGGTGCCGCCAGAATCCAGAGTGTACAGGTGGGTGGACGATGGCCTTTCCCTCCTCCCTAATGATCCTGGAGCGGCTCTCTTCTCTGCAGGACCCACAGATCTGGGGTGGAGGGATGGGTTTAGTGGGATCAACCCCTTCCAAGGGGGAGGCAGGGAGGGGTGGAAGGAGTGGGTCCACACGGAGCAAACCCAGCGCCTTCTCTGATCACCCAGCCTGTCAATCACCCTGAGAGAAGGGGCCCAAAGATCAGTGCCAAGAAAGATCCGTCAGAAGAACCTGCAGCTACCTAACCTCCAGTTGCTGCAGGGGTCATGGAAGCCGGCTGGCTCTTTTCCAGGTCACTTCTGGGCTTCCGTTACCAGGCAGCCACAGCTAAACTGTGCAAGGGAGAGGTGTGCCTGCCACCTTCTCCACCCGCTGCAACCAATGTCCCCCCTCCCTGTTTCTTTGCCTCCACAGTGAATTGTGGCTGGTCAGCCTGGTCCCCCTGGGGCGACTGCCTGGGCCCCTGTGGGGTACAGAGCATTCAGTGGTCCTTCCGCAGCCCCAACAACCCCACCAAGCATGGGAACGGTCGCCAGTGCCGAGGCATCTACCGCAAGGCCCGGAGGTGAGCCTGGGGAGCGGGGGGCTGGCTGGGAGGAAGGCGTTTTTGCTCTCCCTGCTCCCACCCGCTAGACAAGCCAAGAGGGTTTTCAGAATGCAGAAGGAGTGGTCCCAGAATCTGACACAGAGGGTGGGAGCAGGGACTCTCTGTCTATGCTGGGGGGGGTCACGTCCTAAAAAGTGGGGGGAATTGACATGTTACGATTTACTGCTAGGATTCTTAAGGCCCTCTGAGTGAGACTGCCAAGCAGGGTCCGGCTTGCTTAGAACTTGGATGGGAGACCCAAAGAGAAGCCTAGGGATCTCCAGGCCGGGCTTACGAGAGATCCTACTGGAAACCTCTGGAGAGCCAGGGCGACCAGTCAGAGCAGACAATGCTCAGTGGACCCCAGGGTTCTGGCTGAAGGGAGGGTTTCTTGTGCTTCTCCTTGATCTTCTGCACACTCGTGTGTCCCCTTCATTGCTGAGATCCTTGCACGCGCTCCTGTCGGCCGAGTCCTCCTCCCTCCCTCTCCCTTGCAGGTGCCAGACCGACTCGTGCGAGGAGTGTGAGCACCATGGCCGGACCCACGCCATGGGTGACCGCTGGCGCTCGGGGCAATGCCAGGTCTGCCAGTGCCTTCCCAACTTGACGGTGCAGTGCTCCCAGTACTGCCCCTACAGCACGGTGGCCTGCCCAGAGGTGAGCCCACGCCTTCTGAGAATCCCAGAGGGAGAGGACCTCTGAGCATGGCTACAGTCCCTTATTGACACTCCTCCTGAATTCCTGCAGGGCCGAGTCCTGGTGGAGGGCCGAGGAAACTCCTGCTGCTACTGCGCGGAGGCTGGTGAGTCCCTACAGCTGGGCGTGATTTGGGAAAGGGGCATGCCTTGCACACCTCCTGTGATGTACAGTGCAGTTGTGGACTGTAAGCCGGGTCACTGATGCTTAAGTAAGCAGAACTTGGCTGTCTTCCTGACTCACTGTGAGAGGAAGGCCCTGTGTTACAGTCCCTAAGACATTTTCCGGTGTTTGCCATCCTGCATGCCTGGTTATTTGGGAAGAGCCTGCTTCTGAGTAGACCAGGGCTTGGGGAAATTCCTTCTTGGCTGGGCGGGGCGCGGTGGTTCCTCCCGTCCTCCACTGGCGCTGCTAGCAGAAGGATTCTGGTCTCTAGACTTCAAAACAACAGAACGTTCCTGCTTTGGATGCTTTCGTTTGTTTTCCCTGCAGATTTATACCTGGCCTTTCAAGTCATGTTATTATTTCCAGGCCAGCTTGGAAACTAAACAGAAACTTTATTGGCAAACCATAAAGTTAGCCTCTGACAGCAAGTTCCATTTTTTATATCATAAATGATAAACAATCCGGTGAGCCTGATTGTTCTATTTTTACCCTACGTATTTAACCAAAAGGAGCCATCATCTTCTTCTTGGGTTTTAAATCTGCAGGGAACAAGGTGAGAGTGGAGTCTATGCACAGGACTATCCCAGGCAGGCGGGCAGGTGGGCGGGCGGGCGGGTGTTTGGTGAAATGCCAAGAATAGGCACGGTGCAAGCAGGTACGGCACAACACACAACCTGAGCTGCCAGGATTTTGTGCTGCTTGCAAGCTCGGCTCACAGCCCCCGGGTCTAACCCGGGATTCTACGTTTCCCTCCTATTCAGCAGAGAACCAAACGGTCATCCCCACAGTGCCGGCCGCCGGACCCTCCGTGGCCAGCCTGGGTGCCTTCACCACCGCCCCACCCCTCAGCACCTACCCGCTGCCCCCCCTTGGAGGTGAGTTTCTCTGCCTCCCACACCTGCCACCCCTCCCCCCTCCAGGAAGGAGAGGGAGGAGGCCCACCTGCTCTGGGAGGCTGTCGTCTGGTTTGGTCTTCCTATGGATGGTGAAAGCTCACCGAGGACCTTACCTTAGCCAGTGATGAAAGGAATGCTCGTGGAACTGGGATAAAGAACCAGAAAGCCACCGTATCTAATTTGTGATGATTTATGATAGTTTAGGGCTTTTTGTATAAAAATAAGTAAATAAAATCACATGAAAACCAAACGTTACAGATCTACAATTCAAGAAATACAATTATAAAATACAGTTACAATAAAATGGAGGCAAAAGCCAAACTGGATGGAATTTGGAGTTCAGACAATAAGGACCTTGGCTGCAAACTTAGAATGTGGACACTTTCCTCAGCTCTTTGCCTTCTTTGGCCTCTTAATTTTCATTTTGATTAATTGGGGGATGATGATTATCCCTTATCTCAGCTGCTTGGAGGAAGGGGTGGCTCCGCCCATTCCTTTCAGGCCCTCCGCTGTGGGAGGGGTCTCCCTGCTCTGGCCCCGCCTACTGTGAAGTTTTCCTTTTGTCCCTGCGCTGTTCTTTCTGTCCCTCTTGGCCGGCCTGGGATGACCCCAATCCTGCCCTTATGGCTTAGGGGTCACTGTGCTGTCCAGCCAAACTAGGGGGATACCGGAGACCCTGATCTCAGGGGACCCCCGGCGACACTGTAGAGTACCCCCTCTTGCCCAGGGATGCGTGTTTCTGCCCAGATGGGGTCTGAGTGAGGGAGGGGGTTTGGAAAGGCGAGAGGCAGAGGGCTCCTCAGCAGAGTGGCCAAAGGTATTCCTGATAGAGAGGGGGTCTGTTAACCGACCTAGTGCATGTATGCATGGTGTTGGAGGGGCCTCCTCCTTCTGTGGTTCTGCACCCCCTACAGACCTTTGCTACGGCCCACTGGGCATTGCGTCGTTGCCAGACGCCCATTTCAGGGCATCCTCAGAGCAGCCGGAGAACCCAGCGCAGGCCGCCCGCCTCAACCGCCTCCTGCCCAGTGCCGACCTGCAGGGCTGGGGTCCCAGGGCAGAAGCCTATCCTGAACTGCTCTCCCGGCCCCCCTTTTTGGAAGTGGACCTCGGCGAGCCCAGAAACCTGACAGGTAGGTAGGTGGTCCCTGTTCTGAAGAAAGAGGAGGGGGCGGTGTCTTTCAGGCATCAGAAGAAGACCGATCTCAAAAGAGGAAGGCAGGTTGAGATCTGGGTGTTCGGTTGCCTCGTAGAAAAAGTAGTGGCCCTGGATGGGTTACTCGTCTCTTTATGGTCAGCCTGTCCTTGGGTAGAAACTAAGACAGCCATTTTGCACAGAGACAGCAGTGCTGTGGCCGTGTAGGTTTTGTGCAAACGGACAACACACACACAAGCTGTTCAGCATTTCAGGCCCACCCTGAAAAAGCAAGATCACTCAAGAAGGGCTGGAGAATCCTCGAGGTGCTGCCCCCCACTGTGCTGAGACCTCCAGTTTTGACCAAAAAGCCCCCAAACGAACAAACGAACAAAACACCACCAGGCATGGTGACAGCAAAGGGGCAACTCTGTGGGAACACCAAAGCTGGTGCACACCCGCTTGGCTTCTGGCTGCGCCTGGCAGATGGCGAGTCTTCTGAATTCCGGCCGGCACCCACACGATCCTGTCTTGATTTCCTCAGGGGTGGTGATCCAAGGGGCAGGATCCTCCGATGCCTACGTGACCAGCTTCTTCCTGCAGTTCAGCTTGGATGCGGGAAGATGGCACGACTACCGTGAGGTCTCCCCTACAGGAGGCGCCCTGGAGCCGAAGGTGTGAGATTGATGTGGGCTCTGCGGTCCTGTGGTCGGGGCTGGTGGCTCATGGCAGGGAGAGGAAATGAGAGAGGAAGGAAGCGCCGTCTCGCGGATCTGCTGGCAGGGAGGTGGGGATAAATCCTGCCAATTAAAGAGGGTTTGATTGTCCTCTTTTTTGGGAGCGGGTGTCATCGAGTTCAGGGGGTGGTTGCCTGCCCATTTGGCCCCACACCAAATGGGGGCTTTAATGGTTTAACATGTAACACTTGCAGAACAGGCGAGTCCTTTAAGGCTGAGTGCAGAACAGCACCTGAAAATCGGTGCCCCAGACTTGCTCAGCCAGCCCGGCCAGTGGCGGCGGCGGCGCTCCTGGGGGTAACCCTCCAAAAAAAGGAACCTTTCCAGGGGTGGGAGGAGGATGTCAACAGGTGTACCTGAGCCAGACTTTCTGATTTTGGACTATCGAGGACGTCTTGTGCCCCCCTCCTCTTCCCTGCAGCTCTTCCAGGGGAATTCCGATGACTCCACCCCCGCGGTCCGGACTTTCCAGCACATGGTGACCGCCCAGCGCGTCCGCATCCTGCCTCATGACTTCCACAACGGCATCTTCTTGCGTATGGAGCTGCTGGGCTGTGGCAAAGGTGGGGAGCAGAAGGCCAGGCCCTTTTGATCGAGGGCGGGGTGGTGGTGGCTCCCCTCCTCTTCCCTGCAGCTCTTCCAGGGGAATTCCGATGACTCCACCCCCGCGGTCCGGACTTTCCAGCACATGGTGACCGCCCAGCGCGTCCGCATCCTGCCTCATGACTTCCACAACGGCATCTTCTTGCGTATGGAGCTGCTGGGCTGTGGCAAAGGTGGGGAGCAGAAGGCCAGGCCCTTTTGATCGGGGGCGGGGTGGTGGTGGCTGCGGGGGTGGGAGGGGGGGAGATGGGGGGAGGTGGTGAGGGAGGGTCAGTGGGTGCCAAAAGGGCTTGGGAAGCAAGGGGTCCACGCATCAGGTGGCGGGCCTTCCCCAAAGTGGAAGGACATGGCGGATGCAGGAAACTGGTGTTTCAGTTGGAAGAGAGGACCAGGAGCAAGCTGGGAGACCATGCAAAGGCTTGAGTGCAAGCTTGCCTTCCCCAAGTGGGCGCCCTCCAGGCTTGGTGGACTACAACTCCTATGTTCCCTGGCTGGCTCATTCTGTTTTTGGAAAGGGTTGCGTTAAAAGGCCGAGCTTCTCCCGAAGCGCAGAGGCTCCTGCAGTGTTAGACTCTTTGGCTGCGCCTTCTCTCTCTGGCGGGCTCCTTTACGAAGACCCTCCTTGCTCCCCCCCACCTCACAGTGTCCCCAGAGCCGCCCGGACGCCCGACGGCCCTGCCCGGCTGGAGGCCATGCCGGATGGGGGAGTTCCAGTGCCAGAACAGGCGGTGTGTGCCTGCCGGGCCCCAGGGCGCCGTCTGCAACGGGGTGGATGACTGTGGGGATTTCTCTGATGAATGGCGCTGTGGTGAGTAGAAGCCAGACGGGGCCACAGACAGGCCATCCAGTGAGTTGAAGGGCTCCTTCTGACCAAGCGGGGGGGCGTGGGCGGGCGTGGGCAGAAGGCAGCTTTTAGATATCTACCTCTTTCCAGGGCCCACCTAACTGTGGAATGTGTAGTGCCAGAGTGGCAGTCTGGCATGATGGTGAGTGGTCCAGACTAGAGCTAGAGGGGCCTGGGTTCAAATCCTCACTCCGTCATGAACCTCACGGCGTTTCCCTTGAGCCAGTCCCTCCCTCTTGCGCTCCAGCCCACCTCTTCCGATGCTGCGGAGATGAAAAGCGTACAGGAAGAAGTGTCATGTGGGCTCCTTGGAAGGAAGAAAGAGGAGGTCAAAATGTAATAAGTAGACATAAAACACAGAAGGCAAAGACCTCAGGCAGCCTCCCGAGGGGAGTCGTGGCCGCTTTGCTTCTTCCGGGCGCCATTCCTAAGGGTTCTTTTCCTCCCGTTTCCAACTGAAAATAATGCACAGTTTTGGTTCACAGAAGTGACCCGTTTTTATTTCTTTGCAAATGTGTGGCTCCCCACCGACAGGCGGATGGATCGGTTAGTGATGAGAACTTGTACAGAGTGCTGGCTGAAGCTGTTCTGAAATCGGGGGGGGGGCCTTTCTCCCGCCTGGGAAAGAAGAGCCGAGGAAGGGACCCCTCTACGCTCCTCACCCAGCAAGGCCCCCTTTTTTTAAGGATGACAACTCCCAGCCCCTTGGGTGTCGACCTGAGGAAGCCCCTCTGGGGACCCCGCTTTGCAGGGCCAGGCCAACTGCAAGCCTGTCTTCTTCCTCGGGCCCCCCGCCTGCCCCACCCCAGGAGGGCTGCCCTCGGCACTTCCAGCTCTCCTCCCTGTGACCCCACGGGGGTTCCTTTGCCCACCTTGGCCGGCTCTGAATGGCTTCCTCACCTTTGCCTCTCCCTTCCGGACCTCTCCCGGCAGGAGTCGGCCCGTCATCCTCCCCGGAGCCCTCCGCCTTCCTCCCGGGGGCCTGCCTGCCCTCCCAGTTCCAGTGCCCCTCTTCCAACATCTGCATTGAAGCCACCCAGAGGTGCGATGGGGCGGCCCACTGCCCAGACGGCTCTGATGAGACGGGCTGTGCACCGGCTAGCACGGCGCCCCCACCTGGCACAGTCAGGTAACAGCAGGGAGACAGGGGAGCAAGGGCGAGGTGGGTGGGAATGGAGTTCAGATACCTGTACTCACAAATCTCTTCCGGGAGTGGGTGGTGGTGGGGGGTTTATAGAGCCTGAACCTCTCAAGAGGAGTCGAACATGCGCTGTAGGCTTTTAAAGAGAACACTGAAAAGAGTCTGTCTGATGGGACAATGTTCCCCATCCCCATCCCGTTCTCCTATCTGTGGGATCTTTAAGGAAGCCTGATTTAAAAAAAAAAAAAGCAACAGCACCCCCTGGTCTTCTTCTTTCCAGCCCGTGGACTTCAGGGGAAAAGCCCCACTTGCAGCCTTCTGTGACCCAGGTAGGGGGGCAGCAGCTCGGCTGGGGCTGGCTGCCCAGACCCTCAACTTCCCAGAGACCTCCGGCCAGGGCAGGGGAAGGGGAAGGGGCTGCTGTGGCCAGAACATGAGAAGCCCAGCTCCGTCGGCTCCGTCTTTGAGCTCCCTGGACGATGTTGAGTTAGCCAGGCTGTCTTTCTTTCTAAAAGGTTCTTTGGGAGGGTTAAATGGCCCACCAGCTCCTCGGATGAAAGGGGATTCTGTGCTTAGAATCCAGAGCTGCGTAACTGAGGAACCGGCGGGGGGGGGGCATGGGGCCAGAGCCATCCCTGAGACCTGCTCCTTTGTCTGTCTTTGCACCCTTGGGATCCCCGGGGTGGGGAGGCCCTTCGTTCCCAGGAAAGGGCAGGAAGAGAGAAGCTCTGGGCAGCCAGGGAGGGGTCAGCCGGCCTGTGCTGGCCGCCGGCTCCAAATCCGACTCCACCGGCCAGCCACCCGTGACTCTTTTCTCCATCCTTCTAGGTGGCCCCAGGTGGGTGGCCATTTCCTGAGGACTTCACTCCCACTCCACCAGGTACGGGGTGCACTCTCTGCTTCCCTCCCTTCACCTCCTCCCAGACCTGTTCTGAGCAGCAGGCTCCGTCTAACCCTGCCTGAAATCTGCGCCCTCTTGCCCAGGTGCCTGCAGTGAACCCCTTGGCCTGGAAGACGGGCGAGTGCGACACCAGCAGCTGAGCGCTTCTTCCTCCGAGGAGGGGAATCCTCCGGATGCCGGGCGCCTCAACATTGTGCCCAACCTGTAAGTGGGATGTGTGTGCCAGAAGCCTTGAATTATGGAAAGGCGCAGGGGAGGAGGGGATGTCACAGAGATTCACATGGCGCCTCCCTTCCCCACTCACGGCTGGCCACAAGTCAGGGGGAGAGGGAGAGGGCCGAGGAAGATAGGCGGCCAGAGACTGCCAAGGGACTGGGGTGGTAGGAGCTCCCTGCCGATGCCTCGGAGAGAGCAGGGAGGGATGTGGGTGCAAGAGGGCAGGAAGCCCAGAGGGGGAATCCTGCAGATGTTGGCGCCAGTGCCACTGGCGGGCTACCAAGCCAGCTTGCTCCCAAGGTGGACCACTCATCCCTCGAGGCCAACAGCGTCTGCTCTGAACAGCCACTGCTCTCCGGGCCTCAGACCCCTCCAGGGTCTTTGTCATCCCCAGCTACCCACCTGTGGCAGCAGAACCCACATGGTCTGTGCCAGAGGTGGGCAGCTTTTGGCCTGCCAAATGCTTCAAACATGAACCCCCACGGCCCCTAACTGACTAGGCCGGCTGGGGCTGGAGAGAGCAGGAAACCCAAGTCCTGAGGGAGGGGCAAACCTCCCCCCCCCAACAGTAACTGATCTTGTTGATAAAGTCTGGTTCTCTCCCCCCCCGCCACCCCCAGCAAACATTGCAGGAATGCTTTTAAGCGAACCTGTTTGCAAGGGGACCATGTGCAACCAGTCGAGATGCTGGTGGGGGGGATTCTGGAGGATGTAGTGTCTCCCCACCCCTCAAAAACCTTCTTCCCCCACGTCCCTAGGCAAAACACGGAGCCTGGCTGGAGCCCACGCGCGTCCGACCCTGATCCCTACTTCCAGGTGGACTTTCTCCAGCCCACCTTCATCACGGCGGTGGTCACCCAAGGAGGTAGCCGCACCCAGGGCTACGTCTCCCGTTACCGCTTGGCCTCCAGCCACGATGGCATCCTCTTCCGGAATTACACCAAGGCCAGGCATGGCCCAGCAGCTTCCGCGCAGGTACAGCAGGTGCCCGCTCTTCTGACCGTGTTGGCAGGGTGTGTGTGTGTCTTTCAGTGGCCATGGTGGTGCCAAGGCCTGCCCCCCCCGTACCGTCATCCTGGTGACTTCCCTCCCACCAGAAAGATAACGGAGCTACTCAGAAACGGGATCCTTCTCCCATCACTGGAATTCCTTTTCTGAGAAGGCCTTAAGGCAAATGCCAGAGAATGTCCTGGGGTGGAATCCTCATTGAGCCCAACCCGAAAGGCAGAATGAGGCAGGCAAGCTCTGTGGATTTCTAGCAGGAACCGGCGGGGGGAGAACATGAGATGGGTGGGTGGGGTGGAGCTTGACCTAGAAGTCTGACCGCCTGCGTCGTGAGGGTGTCAGCGGGAGAACCGCAGCCCAAAAATGGAACCTTTTCAGATTCTTGAGTTGCCTTCGATCGTGCAACGTCCCTGGCCATACATATCTCATTTTTTGATTCGCCCATGAGATCTTTTTCCTGCCATCTTGTTCCTCCCCTCCAGGAGACCAGCCGCTGAGCCCCCACTTCTAGGAGCAGTTCTCTGGCCCTGGACGGCCCCCCTGTCGCCTCCTCCTCCTCCTCCTCCAGCATCCTCTTGTCTCTTGCAGGTCCTGGAGGGGAATTCCGACAGCACCACCCCAGTGCGGCAGGAGCTCCGCCCTGCCCTCTTGACCCGCATCCTGCGCATCATGCCTGTGGCGTATCACGGAAGCATTTCCTTGCGCATGGAGGTGCTCGGCTGCCCCTGGAGTGAGTTGGGGGCCCCGGCAGTGGTTCGGCGGTGGGCTGCAAGGGTTCTGTGGCAGAAGGGCTTGACCCCTTCACTGGGCCCTTGCCCAGGATTTCCCCCGGCGTCCTGTTGTCCTCCAATGCGTGCCAGAAGTCAGGAAGGGGGTCCCAGGGCAGGGTACCAGAGAGCTGGACCGAGGGCTACGCCTGCCGTAGGGACAGGGAAGGGTCAGCCCAGTACCCGGCTTGTCTCTGACACGCGCTTGTCTCCAGTCCCTGCAGGAACGGAACCCACCGAGGGTGTGAGAACGTCCGCCCTTCCCACGAGTCAAGAGCCACAAACGGCCAGCCCTGGGCTTCTTCCCACAGGGGCAGCATCTTTGCCAGCACCTGGAACAGAGGTCCCCACATGGCCTGGGGTCAAGACGTCCAAGCAGCACCAAGAGACAGCTGCCCCCACTCCCTTCTCCCCAGGGACCCCGACCCTCCTCTGGCCCACCTCCAGACTCCCGGCCTGGCCAGCTTTCCCCACCTTCCCCCACTGGCCTGGAACCCCTGGCCTGAGGCCCACCGTTTTAGGTAAGCAGGTGATGGGAGTGGGGGGGGTCCATCCTGGGAGTATGAGGAAGGGTATTCCCCTTAGCCACCTTTTTTCTTCTGTTTTCACACAAGTATCTAATTCCTGGCCTGTAAAACTACTTAAGAAAGTGAGGAAATATTTGTTGACTTCCCATCTTTAGCAGAAATTGTCAAGCAGGAGGTTCTTGGCTGCCCTTTGGCACCCGAGTGATCTAGTCCCATGTTTCGGGTGTGTGTGTGTGTGTCCGATCCATGCCATGACAAACACGTCAGCCTCCTGTGGGCAGCCGCTATCAAGAGGGCAGAGGGCGCAGGTGTGGAAGGAAAAGGGCTGAGGCAAAAGGGAGTGAGAGACTTCCAGCCGGAGGTGCTGCCGAAGGGCCAGCTTGCCGGCCTCCTCACCCTCTTCGGTCCTTGTCCTCCACCAGGACCGACCGGCACTCCTAGCCCCGGGCTGCCCCGGATCCTTTGCACCCAGGGGCAATTCACCTGCGAGCTCTTTGGCTGCGTGGAGGCTGCCTTCGTCTGTGACGGCCAGGAGGACTGCTTGGATGGCTCGGACGAGGCGCTTTGTGGTGAGGGTCCTGCCCTTGGGTTGGGTGGGCATTTCATCCAGCCACTTTGGCCTCGGTTCAGCCAATGCTGAAAGGGCCAGTTCAGAGGAGGGGCGCCACCCCTGCCCGGACATGGAGTGAGACCAGGCTGTGGGTGGGTGCTCGGTGGCGCCTGTTCCTCCTTCCCTGGCCAGGGCCCACCCAATCCTGCGCCAGACAGAAGCTGCCATCGCCTCAGGCAACAGGGACCGGGGGAGAGCAGCCGCCATCTCCCCAGCCATTCCATCTGAGTTCCTGAGCCTGCCCCCTCCCTCTGGATCCTGCCCCGTCACCAGCATGGAAGGGAGCCCCCCGATGGCCAGGCGACTGTGGGATCCTTGGGAAAAGACAGCAACCCCTCCCAGACTCTTCCTCGGGGTTTCACTGAGCCTGGGAGATGACCCTGCTCTTCTGCCTTCTCTCTCTCTTTTTTTTTTGCAGGGGGCCCCACAGCTCCCGCTCTCCCCACTGTGCCCCCCTTGTCACCGGCGGTGCCCCCCAGCATCTGCTCCACCAAGCAGTTCTCCTGTGGCAGTGGGGAGTGCCTGGCACTGGAGCGGCGCTGTGACCTTCGCCGGGACTGCCAGGATGGATCCGACGAAGCCCACTGCGGTACGCGGGCTGGGGAGGAAAAGGGGGGTGGAATGGAGACGCCTTCTCAGTCAAAAAAGAGCACGCCTGGCTGGGGTTCCACTCTGCCCCTCTTTGGGGCAAGGGGCAATTTTGTTTTCTGCTCATAAACACTGATGGGACTCATCCTTGCACAACCTACCAAACGATTTTTCAGCGACCCTCCTTCGGGGAGAGTGGCCGAGAACCAGCGGGCAGGCAGGTTAGTGGCTGCTCTCAGGCTTTCCTCCTGCTGGTCTCGGAAAGAACGTCGGCCCCTTTGTGAGGGCCCAGCAGCAGAAGGGGTGCCAGGGGCTGCCTTGCCTTGAAAGCGAGGGTGTTGGGAGCGTTTGTGGGTGGCTGGGGTGACTGAGTCTTCCTTTCCGGTGCTGGCAGAATGGGAGCTTGAGGGAGAAAAGGCACTCCTTCTCCCACAGAGGGGCTCAGGGCCTTCCTTGCAAAGTTCTGCTTTGCAGAATTAACAGAAATCTTCACAAGAAAAAAAAAATCTCTCTGTGGTGCCTCGGTCTTTTCCCGGAGGCAGCTGCTCTCCAGGGGGTTGAGGAAAACTGGAGGCGCTGCCTCAGCCTGTGAAGACAGCCCGTGGCCAGTCTCCCTTGCCGTTGTGCTCGGCCCTCACCCACCGGCCCTCTCCTCTCCCTTCCTTTTGGCCAGTGGACTGCATCTTGTCCCCCTGGAGCCCCTGGAGCGAATGCAGCCGGTCATGCGGGCTGGGGGTCACCTTCCGCCGACGGGACCTGCTCCGCAACGCCCTCCCGGAGGGGCAGTGCGACCGGGACGAATTTGACAGCCGCTCTTGCTTCCTCCGGGCCTGCCCAGGTAGACTGTTCTTCCCATTTTATGGGTCCCTGAGTGGATGCCTGGGGAAGAGGGGAGAGGGGAGAGGGGGAGGGGGGAAAGAAAGCCGAAGAGCTCAAGATAAGAGAGGTGATGGCCCAGATGTTGTGGTGTGCTGGAACCTGGCTGGCCGGCCGGCCTTGGGGTAAGAGGGTTGGCAGGGTGGTGAAGCCCACAGAGTCACATTCCCTGCCATCGTCAACCAGAGCACCACGGGAGGGATCAGCGCCATGGAACGGGTGGGCGGAGGGCCCCTCGGTCGAGGGCTCTGACGTGGCCATCCTCCCTGGGTTCCCCTTCCTGAGCAGTGAGCGGCGCCTGGGCCCCCTGGGGCGAGTGGTCCGACTGCGATGCGGAGTGCCGGGGAGGCGTCAGGAGCCGCGCGAGGGCCTGCGCAGACCCCCCACCGAAGAACGGGGGACAGCCCTGCCCGGGGGATGCCGTGCAGATGGAGACGTGCAACCAGCAGCCCTGCGGAGATGCCCGGGGTCAGTAGTAGCCCTTCCGGTCCCGGCAGGGGAGGGAAGGGTGGAGCCAGCAGAGGAGCTGGGAACTGGGGACCAGGGCCACGCGTGGCTCAGGAATGGCTGCCCCCCCACTCCACCCCTGAATCCTTGTTCAGGGAAGCACGCCTGAGCACCCAGAACCCCTCAGTCCCCTGACCTCTCTCCCACAGACTGTGGCCCAGACATGGTCTACGTGCAAGCTGGGCACTGTGAACGGGGCCTCGTGGCCCCCTGTCCCCAGACATGCCAGCAGCTGAGCACCAAAGCCACGTGCCACGGCAGCTGCATAGAGGGTGAGTGAGTGAGTCGCTTCTCTCAGGGGGGCTTTGGTCTGGCTCAGGCAAAGGGTCTCTCCCCCACCCCTCTGCAAAGTGGAGCATCAGACTGGGGGTTGGCGTCTCTCCCTGTTGGGCTGCAGCCAGTCCTCCTATAGCTAAAGGGTAGGAAACATCCATGTCCCACCAGTGGCCGGTGGGGGTTCCCTAGCCAGCTCCCGTTCTCTCCAACTGAGGACTGGAGTCAAGGCCCTTGTGAAGGCTGGGAAGCCACTGCATGCCCTTAGGACCCGTCCTCCGCCCGGTCACGGCCTCAGCTCTGCCCTCCCTCGGTGGCTCTGGCAGGATGCCGGTGCCCCCCTGGGCTGTTCCTGCAGGACAGCGGCTGCGTGAACATCAGCCAGTGTCATTGCTTCTTTGACCATGAGCGGCGGCTTCCCGGGGAGATGTTCCTGCGAGACAACTGCAGCCAGTGGTGAGCTGGGAAGCGGGCCCAGCAGCCTGCCCTTCTCCTCCCTGCTCCTGGGGGTTTGCCCCCACCTCTAGCCTGATGGCTGAAGCCTCTGGGACCGGCAGGGACCAGCCTGGTAGCTGGGAGGTCCCTATGCTGTAGCTCAGCAGGGCTCCACATGAGGGTAGAGTCCTCCCTCCCATCTATCCATCATCCACTCCTTCCTTCCTTCCTTCCTTCCTTCCTTCCTTCCTTCCAGCTTACAAACTGCAATTGTTTAGAGGTTATCAAAGTTCTGTGTTTTCTGAGAATGAAGTGAATATACCAGGGTATTTTGCTATACAGAGGAACATTTCTAACAGAGAGAAGAAAGAAGAGGAAACTATGCAAGGTTTTACCCTAGAAGCTCTTCTTTAACCCGCCTCTACCTTCCAGATACAAAAGGGTTTCCTTCGGATCTGCGAAGCCAGGTGCAGAGACTGCTGTGGAAGGGGGGATCTGTGTGGGGTGGAGCTGCCGTCCTGCTGAAACTTGCCCCTTCCCTCCCTCCCTCCCTCCCCTTATTCTAGCGTCTGCCTGGATGGCACCGTGACCTGTGACTCCATGGCCTGCCCCGTGGACTGTGGCTGGTCAGCCTGGTCCCCCTGGACTCCCTGCGGCCAGAGCTGTGGGATTGGAATGCAGCAAAGATTTCGGTAAGGAGTGGCAGGGCACTGGGAGAGCCAGCCCCCAGCGGTCTTGCAAGCCCTGGGCCCCTAGCCGCCTTCTCCAAAAAAGCATATCTGCCCCCCAAAAGAGGTCCCAAGAAAGTTGAAGGTGTTTGTGACCTTCGCGAAGCAAAGCCAGAGATCCTTGAGGGGGCCGGACCTTGGGAGGTCACCCTTCGGAGAGACGGCTTCCCCGCGGCTGTGGCTCTTGGGGTTCTGGGCGAAAGGGGACCCTTCCAGACTCTGGAGCGGGTTCTGCTTCCCATGCTAGCTGTCAAGTGAATCTCCATCATCCTGCAGCCTTGCCGCTTCTTAAAACAGGTTGACTGTCAAGTGGGCACCGCCCTGAGCTCAGACACAGCTCTGCCGGGCAGCCCTTCTTGCCAGCTGGTGATGGAGCCGTTCTTTCTTTGGGTTGCCTCAGTTCCTTCTCTGTGAAATGAGAACCTGACGGGCGCGTGGCAGGGAGGGCTGGGGGTTGCACGGTGTTCTGCACCATATTAAAGGGGATGCTTTTAAATATGAATTATATTGCATTCCTCTTCATAGTGATAGTGAAATATTGCCTGCACGGAGTTTGAATTGCTGCCTGTTGTTCTGAAAACAGCTGCTGAGTGTATCACGCGCTCAGTTTGGAACAGAAAGCTGCAGTTGAGAACCAGTCCCCTGGGCCACTCCATTCCTTTCTAACGCCCCCACGACACCCACCCACACCCACACCCACTTCAAGACCTGTCTTGTCCCCCTTGCAGATCTCCCTCCAACCCAGCGGCTGCCAATGGTGGTGCCCCATGCCGAGGGGATGCCCAGGAGGTCCGGGAATGTCACACCATCTGCATCTCAGGTAAGAGAAGGGCCCGCCTCCCCCTCAACACACACACACACGCACACACGCACACACAGCCTGTTAATTCTTCTCTGATCACAAAAGCCTGGACAGGCAGGAAAGAACCTTCATTCCTTTGATGATCAGCAGGAGGGGGAGCCCCTGCGAGTCCGTGGGGCTTCCCCAGCGTTTCTCTTTTTTGGCAGAACAGCTGAGCCCCCTCACCTAAACCTCGCTTCCTCCCCTCCCTCTCTCTGTGGGCAGAAATCACCTCCCTCTGGAGCGAATGGACCCCTTGGTCACCTTGTTCCAAAACCTGTTTCTACGCCACGGACATGGTGGGGGTCAAGAAGCGGTTCCGGCACTGCAATGGTACCTCTGAGACCGTGGCAGGGTGCCACGGGGAAGCTGTGCAGGAGGAGCCCTGTGACACGCCCCCCTGCCCAGGTGAGTGGCGGAAGGCTGCCTGGGTGCCACCGAGATGTGGGTGGTGGGCTTCCCATGAACCCCTGATCTCTCGATCTCTCTCTCTCTCTCTCTCCATACACACACACAGACACACAAAGTCACTTAAGAGGAACCTTCCTGTTGCATCACAGGAAGTTTCTCCTGTGTGAGGGCTGGTGTGCCTTAAGGCAAGGGTCCCCGACCCCCGGTCCGTGGCCCAGTCCCGAGCCGTGACCCTGGCAAGACCGGGCCGTGGGGACAGATCTTCCACCCCCGCACACACAGACGTACACACACACCCTTCCACACATGCTCCCCCACGCACGGATGCACGCACGCTCCCCCACATGCATGCATGGATGCACACATGCCCCCTGCATGCTCCCCCACATGCACACATGGATGCCCCCCCCCGCACAGATGCACGCAAGCTAAACCAGTCCATGGTGACAAAAAGGTGGGGGACCCCTGCCTTAAGGGACAGTTGCGCAAAGCCTGGGCCAGAGGTCAGGGAGAAAAGACCCACCGCTCCAGAGGAAGCCATTGGTCCGAGAACCTGATTCAGAAACCCAAGCGTTTCATGATGGGTCAGTAGAAATCACAGGGGACGCAACTGGAGGCCCTGCTGAATGTTGGGATGTACTGCATATACAGTAGGCAGTCCTGACTTCTGCTGATATATATATGAGCAGAAGTCAGGACCTGAGTGCCGAAGAGGTAGAGCCTGCTGTAGTTCCACCCAGCTTCCATCACCAAGTAATATTTCTCCTGACAAGTTCCTGCCCAGTGCTGACACATATGTCATTTGGCCATTGTACACCAGCTTCTCAGTTACAAAGGGATAAAACATTATTGCTCCAGGGAAGCATTTCTTCAAAGCTGCCAGAGCTGGCCAATCAGTAGGCCAATGGAGTCTGTTGTTTACCGATTCCCACACCCCAAGACTAATCATCAGGCAAAGTTGAGCTAGCAGGGAACTTTTGCATCTTGGGAAACATTAAGCTATATAAAAGACTACCTCTATTAGCCTGCCTGGGCATTAAGATCAGGGGAGGCCTTTCTCTCGGTCCCACACCTTAATGGGTGCATCTGGTGGGGATATAGGACGAGGGCTTTCTTGGTGGCTGCTCCTTTAGACTCTGGAACTCCCTGCCACTGGAGGCCAGCCTGACCCCATCTTGGCTGCCTTTCTTCAAGCAGGCCAAGACCTTTCTCTTCAGGCAAACTTTTCCTTAATGACTGGCTGCCTGAGAAGAGTTTTTAAATAGATTGTTGTGCTCTGTTGTTTTAAATGTGTTTTACTTTTGATTTTAATTACCATTTTTAATACTTGCTTAATTCTTTTTAAATATTTGTATACCTACTGTTTTTTAGCTTTTAAATATTGCCTTTTTAATTATGTAAGCTGCCTTGGGTTCTTTTTAAGGAGAACAGTGGGTATTTATTTTAAGTAAAGAAAATGTGTGCAAAAAACGGTCTGAAACTCAACATCAAAAAAACTAAGATCATGGCCACTGGTCCCATCACCTCCTGGGAAATAGAAGGGGAAGATATGGAGGCAGTGTCAAATTTTATCTTCCTGGGCTCCATGATCACTGCAGATGGAGACAGCAGCCCTGAAATTAAAAGGCGCCTTCTTCTTGGGAGGAAAGCGATGACAAATCTGGACAGCATCTTGAAAAGCAGAGACATCACCTTGCCAACAAAAGTCCGAATAGTCAAAGCTATGGTTTCTCCTGTCATGATATATGGAAGTGAGAGCTGGACCATAAAGAAAGCAGACCGCCGAAGAATTGATGCCTTTGAATTGTGGTGCTGGAGGAGGCTCTTGAGAATCCCCTGGACTGCAAGGAGAACAAACCTATCAGTTCTAAAGGAAATCAACCCTGAATGCTCACTTGAAGGACAGATCCTGAAGCTGAGGCTCCAGTACTTTGGCCATCTCATGAGAAGAAAAGAGTCCGTGGAAAAAACCTTGATGTTAGGAAGGTGTGATGGCAAGAGGAGAAGGGGACGACCGAGGATGAGATGGCTGGACAGTGTCTGCGAAGCAACCAACATGAACCTGACACAACTCCGGGAGGCAGTAGAAGACAGGAGGGCCTGGCGTGCTCTGGTCCATGGGGTCACGAAGAGTCGGACACGACTAAACAACTAAACACACACACACACAAAGAAAATGTGTGTGTGTGTGTGTGTGTGTGTGTGTGTGTGTGTGTGTGTGTGTGTGTGTAAATACTGTATTCCATATGCCCCCTTCCCTTCACAGCCCTCCATTTTCTGCTTGCTTCTCTCCCCCCACAGTGGAAGGCCTCTGGACTCCGTGGACAAGCTGGTCCGAGTGCTCGGCTCTTTGTGACTCCGGCGTGCAGACCCGCAAGCGCACCTGCTCCAACCCCGCCTACGGAGGCCCGGGATGCTCGGGACCCCTCATCCAGACCCGGGACTGCAACACGCAGCCCTGCAGAGGTGAGCACGGCCCACCGCTTCTCCCTCCGCAAGGCAGAACCAGGTGGGGCAGCAGTAGAAGCAAAGCTGCCTTAAGAGGGAAACGTGGTTTGATTCTCCTCCCAATCCGCTTCCTGCTTTGTGATGTACAAGTCAGTTGGCTTTTGTCCTCTGACCGGACATTGGGAGTAAACCCACTCCGTGGTTTCCATTTCGATTGTGCAAACACAGCGTAGGGGAAAAGAAGGCTGCCGTTGAGCAGAAAGCGCTCCCCGCCTCCTCTTGAAGGCGAAGCAGCTGACTCGTCTCTCTTGCCCCTCATTCTCTCCAGAGAAGCCCCTCTCTCTTCCCTCCCCCCGCTGCTTTCCTGCTTCTCTCTCCACACCTTCTGCCCTGCGGGGTCTGCCCCTGTCTCCACGAGGACCTCTGCTTCTCCTTGCCTTGCAGCGCGGTGCCCGGGGAACATGGTCTACCAGACGGCCGAGGAATGCCGGCGGAAGGGAGGGGCCTGCCCCCGCCTCTGCCTGGACCGGGGCACCCAGGTGGAGTGCACCTCCCAGTGCCAGGAGGGCTGCGCCTGTGCCGAGGGGCTGTTCCTCCAGAATGGCACCTGCGTGCCCCTCAGCGAATGCCCGTGCTACCACCGAGGGCAGCTCTACCAGAGGGGCAGCACCGTGGCCCTGGACGCCTGCAACCACTGGTAGGGAGGGAGGGAGAGGCAGCTGCCCCCCGCCCCCCAGCTCAGGGACGGAGGAAGGCCGGAGGGGGAGCGGGTGGGCTCCTTCCGAGTCCTGAGGGGGAGAAGGCTTGTGCTGCTCCAGAGAGCGGCCGGCTGGGGTCACCCTGGAGGGGCCTCTCCCTTGCTCCCGTGGGACCGTCCAGCCGTTTGGACCCGAAGTGCCCAAAACAGATTGTTTTCTGAAGGGGGGGGTCTCTTCTCCCTTCCAGCACCTGCCGAGACGGGGAAATGGAGTGCACGGCCGAGCCCTGCCCAGGTAAAGCTGAATGAACAGGTGGAGCCCCTGCACTCTGACCTGGCCCATGCCACCAGCCAGCTAGAAGGACTCAGAAAACACTCCGCTTGGAGGCTGGTGGAGCCCAAAGACGAAAGAGGAAGGACTGTATGGGGGGGGGAGGGTTCAGGGAGTGGAAGTGAATTCTGGAATGGAAACAGATGTTTCTCTACCCAAGCCTGTTGGCCCAGCATCGATCCAGCAGCCCAAAGGGACCTTTTTCAAGGATTTTTGTATTGAGAGTTAGTCCTGGAACATGCTTTAGTTCCAGGAAAAGGCACAGCGGAAGGCCAGCTCCTTAAGGTGAGCATCAACTATAGATTTACCCGGTGGTTCCTGGTATCCACCGTCTCCAAAGCCTAGCACTTTAGGAAATAAGACTCAGGAAGCGATCTTTAAGTCTGAAAGGTTTTGTGTCCTTGACTCACTTAAAGGCCCATTTCTGAAACAGGCACACCTTAGGCTTAAGGGGGATAGAAAGGAAAAAGTAGCCAAAGTAAGGTTGGTTTCCTCCGCCCACAGCGGCTGGGAGGATCTCCCGGTGCAGAGACCCGGCCTCTTCCAAGGTGAAGAAGGATCTCTGAGACAAGAATGGAGTCTCTCAAAACTCATGAGAAGGAGAAGGGAAGAAACCAGGGCAGAGAGGTCTCTAGCCCCAGGGGGAAAAAACAAACAAGCCCCTCTGATTAGTTAGCCTGCAAACCAAGAAGCAAACCAGTCAGTCTGTGAGGGAGGCCCCTCCTCCTTCCCATGGGTTGACATTTCCATCATGGTTGCTCACGAGCCCACATGTGGCTCCCTGCTTTCTCCTCCATCCTCCATCCCAGGGACGTTGCCCTTCAGCCTGGCTGAGGTCCTGGGGGACTTAGTCCCTGTGGCTGAGGGCGGGGGGGGGACCCACTGGGAAACTCACGGAGCCGAAGCTGCAGCCCCCACCCTGATTCTGGAGGGGCCCCAGAAGTGACTTCAGTCCACCTTGAAGGGGAAAACAAAATGTGGTGGTCTGTCGTGGAAGAACCCCATTGAAAAAAGAAAGCAGGGGTGACCCAGACCTCGTTGCTGGTTGCCAAGGAGCGCCCCCAACAGTTCAAACTGCAGAAGGCCCCCGAAATGTCGGTCTGCCCCTGGCTGTGGGGAGAGGGCAGGTGGCGAGGGGAGTGGGCGCCTCTCCCCAGAGGACTCACTGGCTCCAAGAGGTAGATTCATTCAGAGCTTGGAAAAATAACTTTTGAGACTACGGGTCCCAGGATCCTGAGCTGGCACAGGATGTGGGGGATTCTGGGACTCAAAGTCCAAAGGAACAAGGCTTCCAAGCTCCGTGAGAGTCAGACAAGCGAAGTGAAGGACTCTTTTGGAGAGTGGCAAGGGGCTGGGGGCCTGGCACTGGGGAAAGGACCCAGAGAGACCCCCCCCAAGCCTTCCTTATTTCTCCCCCCACCCTGCCCCACCTCCAGTGGACTGCGGCTGGAGTGCCTGGACTGCCTGGAGTTCCTGCAGCCGCTCCTGCAACGTGGGCACCCGGCGTCGCTTCCGCTCTGGCTCCGAGCCACCTGCCGCCGACGGAGGGCAGCCCTGCCAGGGGTCTAATGTGGAGGTGGAGTTCTGCAGCCTTCCACCTTGCTTGGGTGAGGGGAGCCAGGAGGGGGGTGGCAGCCAGGGGGGGACAGGTGGCAGGCATCTGCTGTCATGGGGGTCCGTCGGGAGGGTGGGCTTGGGGGCCCAGGACAGAACAGCATCCCCTGCCCAAGACTGGCCTGGAACCAGGATCAGCCGCGGATGGCTAGCGGAATTCCACCGGAGCTGGCCCAAGGGTGCCACCAGGGGCTGAGCTGGCAGGGTGGGGGCAATATTATCCTGCCCCCCTGCTATCACCTCCGCGGGTGAAGTGGAGACCAGAAGTGATCAAACGGGTGGCAGACTGAGACCCGCCAGAGGGTTCGGTCCTTCTCGGATCCTTAGGTCCTTTGGCCCAAATGTTCTCGTTCCGTCTGTGAGGGTCTTCTCATGCAGCCACATGGCGGGTCTTAAGCTCCCTTGACCCAGCCTTTCCCATTCCTCCCCCCGACACCACCCCCGGTCTTTCTCCTCCTCTCCACACAGGTTCTGGCATGGAGTGGGGGCCCTGGTCACCCTGCTCCGTCCCCTGCGGGGGTGGCTACCAGAACCGCACGAGAGCCAGCCTGACCATCCTGCGCAGGATCGAGTTCGCCACCTGCAACCTTCGCCCTTGTCCCGGTGAGCCTGCTGCTCAGCTTCTCTGTCCTGGGCAGGTAGCGTGGAGTCAAAGGGCGCCGTGTTTCCTAACCCAAAGCCCCCAGAAAACGCAGCTTTGCCAGGAGACGCAAGCCTGGGGAATTTTTATTTCTCTGCTATCCCGTGTAGCTGTGTTTCTCCCAGAGAGGGGACACAAGGGGGTTTCAGAAGCTGAAAACAAGTATTAGGGCTATCAACGACAAACATGTGAACCGAAAGGTAGAAAGGGAATATTGAAAGCAAATTTTTTTGAAGATATATGGATTTTTTAAAAAAACACATTGGTTTGGGAAAAGGAAAGGTCAGACCCCCAGGACAAGAATCATTTTATTTTGGGAGAGAAACTGTAAATTGTAAAGGAGGAGGACGAGGATCATCATCATCATCATCATCCTGAGGGTGCCAGGGAGCACTGGATGTATTATGTATGATGAGTTTTGATTTGAAATTGAGTTTATGTTTTTGTTAGTTATTTTTTTTCTTTTCTGTCCTATATTTGTTTATTATTTTAAAAAATCAATAATGAAAACAAAATAAATTACAGATTAAAAAGCCATTAAGCTACAATAATAGCTAAACACCTATTAAGCATTTAAAAGTAGCTTTGTGAAGAATGAGACCAATTTCTGGTGCACAGGTACCCAGACCATTTGCTAGTGGTAAACACAGAGCCACTGAACGTATATACAGGAAGGGACTCCAGGGGTCACAGAGTCCACCCCCTCCACACACATTCCCAGGAAGCAGGAAAACCTCCCTGGCCGGTGACTATCCAACCTTAATTTAAAAGCTCCTGTGAAGGACAGCCCACCCCCTTCCAAGGCAACGCCTTGCCTGGCTGGGCAGCCCTTACTGTTGCCTCCCCCCCCATCCTCCCCATAAGCCATTTCCAGTTGCTGCTTCAGAGGGTCTGCGGTTTCTGCAAAGCCATTCCACCTGCAGGTGCACAGAATTCATGGTGCAGGCCTTTGGCCCGGGCTTCCTTTGCAAGCCTTTCCTGATCAGAACGTTGCTTTGGGGATCCCGAGTTTCAGGGAAGCGTCACTCACAGCGCTATGGTTTGCTGCCGCCCGGAACCCCATGTGCAGGCTGGAAAGGTGATGGAACAGGAGGCGGGGTGCATGTGTGTGCCCCAAAGTTCCTCTGAAACTCCAGACCTTGGCCTCTTGGGATTCATCCCTTCCTCCTTTGACCCCTTGAGATGACCAGCCCACCTCCCTTTCCTCTTCTTTGACAGGGGAGGAGCCAGGAGTCTGCCCGGAGGGGAAGGTGTGGCAGGAGTGCGCAGACCAGCCAGCTTCTTGTGCAGAGCTCAGTACAGGCCCCAGCGCCACCAACCGGATCTGCCACCCTGGCTGTTACTGCCCCAACACCACTGTCCTGCTGGTGAGTCTCCATTCCTGCCAACTCCGTTTCAGTCCAGAAGAAGCTGCACCTCAGGATAAACAGGGAATCAAGTTTCTCTTCACCTCAAGTCATTTCAGCTGCTCAGGCACCCCAAGCCAAGGGTCAGGGGGAGCGACCCAGGCCGGAACGGTGGTGCAAGCTTCGTAAGAGCATAGGGAGAAGCCAGGCTGGACCACTCGCCGCCCCGAGGAGAGAAGGGCTAGCCCAACCTTCCCTGATAGCTGACGTTTTCTATTCCAATAATGGTTTTCCTACTCCTGTTGGAGATCCCACAATTACCCTACCCTCTGGTTTTCTTTCTGGACATCTAGATGACCTCTGAACCATCCCAGGGAGGAGGATTTCCAAAAAGTGGCCAAGAGTGCAATGTTTCTGGCTTTGGCGGTCCATAGGGGGACCGCCTGCCCACCTGCCCTTCCTCACCCTTTCTTAGCTAACTCTCCCAATACAGGATTGGTTGTTCCTGGCTCTGGGTCCAGCTCCCCGGGAGACTCTGCCTTGGCTAAAGGCTTAGAGCCAAGCGTCCAGCCCTCATTGCAGAGGAAAACTGGGAGAACCGCCAGGCCATCCTCTGGTTCTCCTTCGCCCCTTCGGCTTCTGACCACAGGAAAGTGAACAGCGAACATGTGGGCAGCGTCTCTTGCTTCATCTGCCACCTAGGGAGGGGGAGGTGTTCTTCAGCTGCCAACCGGGGTTTCGATGTGTGTGCAGACAGCAGCCTCTGGAGCACAAGGGGGGGGGTTGGTGGAGGAGAGGGACCATTTCGGCCTCTGACCCCAGCAATGTCCCCCCACCTGCACACCCCTTCTCTCCCTTGTAGAACAACCTCTGTGTGCCAGCCGAGGAGTGCCCCTGTGCCATCGATGGGATGCTCTATGCGCCAGGAGACGTGGTGCCCAAGGGCTGTGAGAACTGGTCAGTGCCCGGTCCGGCACCCTTCTTGCTCCCTTTCTGCCCCTCCGGCTGACCCCGCCACCCTCACTGGGCTCTTTTCTCTCCCCCTGCAGCTCCTGCCTCTCTGGCCAGGTGGGCAACTGCTCCCGCGCAGCCTGTGGAGACGGTGAGAACCGGCTCAGCCCAAATGTACCCCACCCCTTGGGGAAATCAGGTCCTTTCCAAGGATCCTCCGTCGTCCACAGCCATGTGTTTTGTTTTTAAATGGATTGTTGTGCCTTGTTTTAAAATGTGTTTTGGAGCAGCTGAAGTTTTTGGTATGGTATTCCTTCAGTCCTTAGTAGTATTTGTAGATTCGCTGTTTTTAGCTTTCATATTGTGTGTTAGCAATGTAAGCCGTCTTGGGTCCTTTTTAAGGAGAAAGGTGTGGTTAAGGATGCATCCATCCATCCATCCATCCCCATCCATCCATCCATCCATCCATCCATCCATCCATCTCTCTCCACCCATCCATCCATCCATCCATCCATCCATCCATCCATCCATCCATCCATCCATCCATCCATCCATCCATCCCTCTCCACCCATCCATCCATCCATCCATCCATCCATCCATCCATCCATCCATCCATCCATCCATCTCTCTCCATCCATCCATCCATTTGTCTCTTTCTATCCATCCATCCATCCATCCATCCATCCATC